CCGGGCCCGACCCAGTCCGTGATATACGCGGGTCACGAGATGGGCTGAGTTCAGCTCCAGACCCGAGACTAGAAAAATAAGTCTGGCCCACCTTGACCCGACCCACCATCGACCTAGTCCGGCCCGATCGGACCCGAAATTTTAATTATTAGTTTTTAGTTCACATACTTTCCCTTCTGTGTTTGTAATTTAAATTTAAACTTAAGGATAATTATTAACTTCCCGTAAACGTAGGTATTTCTTGAAAGTTCAAACAACATATATTTTTGTGTTTGCGATATTTTTCGTGTGATGTTTATCTTTGTACAACGTGTGTGTGTGTATAGAGTTGATCTAATGTCAACTTAAGTGGACACCAAGTGGACACCAAACATTTGTCCACCAAAGTTTCTATCCGCTCATTTATATATATAAAAAGACTCTTCATATCATGCAAGGATCCCTAGGCAACATGAGTGGATAGAAACTTTAGTGCACTATCTACTTAAGTTGACATAAGAATTGCTATATATATATATATATAAGAAAAATGTGTATGCTTGGTATCAAGCATAAAAAATTATGCTTGGTAGTGAGGTGACATAATCCCCTCCACTCATTCAAATGGTTACATATCCCCATCCCCATGCACTCTTCAACACATATGAATGTGGTCCCCCATTTAAATGAGTGGAGAGAATTGTGTCACCTCACTACCAAGAACACCCATTTGAATGAGTGGAGAAAATTATGCCACCTCACTACCAAGCACAAAATTTGTGTTTGGTACCAAGCATACCCATATATATATGAGATTAATGGGTATCCTTGTCATAGGAGGGGATTTCCTCCTATGACGCCTCTAAAATCACATAATTGAGCGACATTGTGGATGATCCGCTCCGTTGAACTTGATCTACATATTCTAAAACCCCAACACACCAAGTTTGGGGTGAATCCGTCGTTGTTTGACCCTCCATCGAGCCATGTGAAAAGTTCTATTCATTCAAAACCGTTAAAATTGATACGAGTGGATGAAGGGTCAAACGACGACGGGTTCACCCCAAACTTGGTGTGTTGGGGTTTTAGAATATGTAGATCAAGTTCAACGGAGCGGATCATCCACAATGTCGCTCAATCATGTGATTTTAGAGGCGTCATAGGAGGAAATCCCCTCCTATGACAAGGATACCCATTAATCTCTATATATGAGATTAATGGGTATCCTTGTCATAGGAGGGGAATTTCCCTCGCTTGAAGCCTATGTGGCGCTGAGCCTATGTGCGCACTCCATCCATCCTCGGAAAGTTAGGATAGAGAGTTGTGTTGAGTTGGTGGGGACTGTGGCACATAGGTATAAGGAGGAAAATCTCCTCCTATGACAAGGATAACCGCATTAATATATATGAGATCTAATGGGTATCCATTGTCATCGAGGATGAGATTTCTGCTCCTTTGTCGGCCTATTGGCACAATCCCCACCATCCCAATAAAATAGTCATAAATTCCCATACAAACTCACACTCTCCATCCCCTACGTTATGAGGATAGTGATGATTGTGCCACATAGGCATCAAAGGAGAGAAATCCCCTCCTATGACAAATTATACGCCATTAATATCTCTATCTCTCTCTCTCCTCTCTTCTCTCTCCGCTGCTAATATATATAATTATATATAATATATTAATAATTTATATAATATTATATATATATATATATATATAAGTATATATATATATATAGGGTGAAGTTTCAATAAAAAACATCCTTAGCTAAAAACTAAAAACATTGTGGGTCACTTGGAGTCATCTCATCCAATGGTTACAATTAGAGCTTATAACTGATGAATCCAGTTCTCAGTTATGGCATAAATACCATTATTAAAGAGTGCAATAAATTTGTCTGCCATTAAAGGAGGCAATTAAATACCATATTCTTCAAAAATAACACCTCAGCATAACTGAATCTGGATCACTGCAATAAATCATTATTTTCAAAAAATAAACACCTCACATAACTAATCATATCACATGCAATGAAGCGAGATCACGTCCAACGATGTCTTCGTTTTTCAAACTGAAACCTCACCCTAAGTTAGGGCGAATCTAGTATTCACTATAGTATATCCAGATTCACTGCAGTGAATTCAATTCATTAGGAGTGAAAACTAATTCGCTGGAGTCAATCTGGATTCATCCAGCTAAATATGTGATTCATTGGTTGTTGTTGCCCCTATTTATTGGGAGCACTCATATAATAATGACATTTATGAGACTCTTTAATGCATTTAGTGTATAAAAGGTTTTTAGTTTTAGGTCTAAGGAAGGTTTATAGAACACTCACCGCTATACATATATATATACTATATATATATATATATATATATATATAATATATATATATAGTATAAGAGAGAGAGAGAAGAGACGAGAGAGAGAGAGAAGAAGAAAGAGAGGAGTGAGAGTGTAAAGAGAGAAGTAAGAGATTAATGGGTGTCCTTGTTCGCATAGGGGGGATTTCCTCCTTGACAGCCTCTAAAATCACATGATTAAAGTGACATTGTGGATGATCCCTCCGTTGAACTTGATCTACATATTCTAAAACCCCAACACACCAAGTTTGGGGTGAACCGTCGTCGTTTGACCCTTCATCCACTCGTATCAATTTAACGAGTTTTGAAATGAATAAAACTTTCACATGGCTCGATGGAGGGTCAAACGACGAACGGGATTCACCCCAAACTTGGTGTGTTGTGGTTTTTAGAATAATGTAGATCAAGTTCAACGGAGCGGATCATCCACAATGTCATTAAATCATGTGATTTTAGAGGCGTCAATGAGGAAATCCGCCTCCTATGACAAAGGATACCCATTAACGCTCATATATAATATATATATAATATATATATATATAATATATATATATATATATATATATTATATAAAAATAATATAATACTACTCTCCTCCTCTCTCTATATATATAAATATATACTATATATATATATAATATATACATATATATATGGATTAATATAGTATCTTTGGTCATAGGAAGGGAATTTCTCCTGAAGCCTGTGGCGCGACCTATGTGCGCAGCCATCTCCATCCATCCTAAATGTAGGATAGAGAGTTGGTTGAGTTGGTGGGGACTGTGGCACATAGTATAAGGAGGAAGAATCTCCTCCTATGACAAGGATAACCGCATTAATATATATGAGTCTAATGGGTATCCCTTGTCATCGAGGAGTGAGATTTCTGCTCCTTGTCGGGCTATTGGCACAATCCCCACCAATCCCAATAAAATATTGGCATAAATTCCCACAACACTCACACTCTCCATCCCCTAATGTTATGAGATAGTGAGATTGTGCACATAGGGCAATCAAAGGAGCGAAAAATCGCCTCCTATGACAAATTAACGCCATTAATATCTCTTCTCTCTCAGTCTCTCCTTCTCTCTCCTCTCTAATATATATAATTATATATAATATATATAATAATATATATATATATTATATATATATATATATATATATATATATATATATATAAGGGTGTTTCTAATAAAAACATCCTTAGCCTAAAACTAAAAACCATGTGGTCACTTGGAGTCATCTCATCGCAATGGTTAATTAGAGCTTATAACGATGAATCCAGCTCCAGTTATGCGCAATAAATACCTATTATTAAAGAGTGCAATAAATTGTCTGCCATTATAAGAGGCAATTAAATACATATTCTTCAAAAAATAAACACCTAGCATAACTGAATCTGGATCACTGCAATAAATTCATTATTCTTCAAAAAATAAACCTCACATAACTAATCTGATCACTGCAATGAATCGAGATCACGTCAACATGTCTTCGTTTTTTCCAACTGAAATCCTCACCCTAATATATAGGCGAATCTATTCACTATAGTGAATCCAGATTCACTCAGTGAATCAGATTCATTAGTGAGTGAAAACTAATTCCTGGAGTCAATCTGGATTCAATCCACTAAATTGGATCATTGGGTGTTTTGCCCCTATATTGGACACTCATATAATAATGACATTTATGACACTCTTTAATGCATTTATGGTATAAAAGGTTTTTAGTTTAGCTAGAAGTTTTTATAGAAACACTCACCGCTATACTATAATATATATATAATATATATATATATATATATATAATATATATAATAGTAATAAAGAGAGAGAGAAGAGCAGAGAGAGCAGAGAGAGAAAGAAGAGAAGAGAGGTGAGAGTAGTGAAGAGAGAAGAGAAGAGATTAAGTGGGTGTCCTTGTCCAATAGAGGGCGTTTCCTCCTTGACGCCTCAAAATCAATGATTAAATACATTGTGGATGATCCGCCCGTTGAACTGATCTAGGCATATTCTAAAACCCCAACACATTCCAAAGTTTGGGTAACTCGTCGTCGTTTGACCTTCATCCACGTAGTATCAATTTTTAACATGGTTTTGATAATGAATAAAACTTTCACATTGCTCGATGGAGGGTCAAACGACGAACGTTCACCCCAAAATTGGTGTGTGGGGTTCTAGAATAATGTAGATCAATTCAACGGAGCGGACTCCACAAGTCATTTAATCATGTGATTTAGAGGGGCTCAATGAGGAAAATCCGCCTGCCAATGAACAAGGATAACCCATTAATCCTCATATAATAATATATAATAATATATATATATATAATAAATATATAATATAATATATTATATATATATATCATATATATAATATATATATATATATATATATAATATCATTTTAAAATAATAGAGTGGATATAAAAAATAATTTAATACATACTAATACAAAGTAGTATAGTTTAGAAATCAAAAATATAAAAATTTAATAAAAAGTTAAAAAGCTCATGGGCAAACCCATGCGGTCTCGTGGCGCGGCCGGGTCTAATCCAGACACCAGCTCCAAAGAATAGACCTAGCGCCACTCTGACCCGGGCGGGCCCGTTTCGAACCCGACCCCGACCTTGAAAACCTGCACCGTCACTGGCCCTGAACCGGCCCAACCGACGCCCACCTCTTGAGGGAGGGTTTGTGGGTGAGGGATTTGAGCTCCACTATAGTGAGGTGGGAGGAGAGGGAGAAGGAGGTTGGAGCCAGAGATTTTGAGGGTTTTGAGGAGAGGAGGGGCATCAGAGAATGGGAAAGGTAGGGGAGAGCAGAGGGGTGAGGCGGAGGCATGTTGAATGGCAAATTTGAGTGATTTGAGGGACATATATCAAACTACTGAAGATTTGATGGACCGAGACTTAATTTAGTCGGCGGCGAACGTTTGGGCTATTTCACCATCAGGCTAAGAAAAAAAACCAAAATGAAGCCGTAGCTTAAAAAAAGTACCAAATTGGTTAGGGGTTCTACAAGAAATACATATTTGGTAATTTTAGCCATCTAGTCACTTTATTACGTATTCAAGGTTCATTCATATAATTACGACTAGGTTTTGTACTGATTATCAGCTTAAAACGTAGAAGCTTGTATAAATGACAACATTGGTTTATGAATGACAAGAATTGGCCAGTTACAAAGTTTACTTAACCCTGCTACTTGTGCTGTCTTTATCCGAAGTTTGAAGACGTCAGTGAAATTATGTTAACCTTAATGTTATAAACTGCTTTGAGGCTAATCCAAGAATAAAACCACGTGGTATACCATACTTTTCATAATACATTTGGCATATAGACCCTCACCCTAGAATAAACTAGAGGATAATCAACCAGTGACACTATCTACTGCTCTACAATAAATACTACAGTAAATTACTATAACAAGACCAATAAATCTTTCAGTCCTCTATATAGAGGAGTAAAATGTTCACACTGTAGTAATTTATTGTATCATGAACATTCTAAGTATAGAGTAGTAAATATGATATCTAATTTTAAATATACAATAATCAAATCAAATGTATTAAACATTAGAAGGAGGCGGTTTCAAAATGCAATGCTTAAAAAAAAAAATAAAAGCCCGTGCTTTGAACAGGGTACACGCTAGTTTACTCAATTATAAGTGAAGTATCATGTTTTTGACATTTTAAAACCAATTTTGCCCCTTATAGAAGAAAGGGTTGTATAAGTCGAAAGAAGGAAGAGGATGACAACTCTCCAAATTTACAACATGAGTACACAATGTATAACAAGTAAAAAAAATAGGGTTTGACATGATATCCTATTCTTGGACCATCGGTGTGTTTTCTTCCCCAAGTTCTTCAAGAAGAGCAACTACTTTTTGGAGTAATGTCTTTGCCTGCTCACTCTTCTCCACTTCACACAGATGAATGAGCTCATCGCTGAACTCGATATTTTTTCTTTGTTCAGAAGGTATGCCTCTATACAACTTGCTCATTTCTAACAGGCACTCTGAAGCAGCCGTATGAACCTGTGAATCAAAAATCAAACTATTGGGTAAACTACTTCCACTGGATCGAAACGGCAGGTGAGCTATAGCAAAAAAAATAAAAAATAATAATAATAATAATAATAATAATAATAAAAAATAAAAATCTACATTAACGTTCAAATGTAGCAACGGTTCCCTGCAATACATTTAAGTTCACAGAATAACTTGGTCAATCAATGATTGTTCCCCTAAATGAAACATTGCCTTCCGTCTTTTAACATGCTCTTAACAAATAAAACCATGTTAAAAAGAGTAATTCCATAGAAAACACAAATTAACGTAACTTAAATAATGGCATTTGTTAACATGAAAATCTATACACTCTATGATAAACAAGTAAAAGAATACATAAACTTGGGAATGTTTGTAATAGTCTATAAACAATTGCTGATGTCACTCATTATACAACTCTACAATTGCATGAAAAGAATAAAATGTTTAAAAGTAAGAATTAAGGATGTATACCTGAGATATCTTTACATTTTGAATGCATTCAACTACTTTTGGGCCCACCGAGTGAAATAACTACGAACAATTGAAAGTGAGAAAAGGTAGAAGGAAAAAATAAAAATAATATGAAAAACAGAAGGTTGAAGATGCTATCTGAATTTACCTCATAAACTAAAGATATTTGATCATCAGAAAAATCACTAGGTTCTGAGGAAGGGTGTAGTTTGGAACAAAGCTCCTTAATACAAGAAAAAACTGACATTTTCACTGTCCAGAGAGTTTCACGATGTTAGCAACTGTCCATGCTTAACCACACATGAAATATAACTTTAACAAGCAACAAAAAATAGAACCTGTCCAATTGAATCCAGGAGACAGAGCACACAAAAAAACGTGTATCAATTTTTCTTTATGTTCAATAACATCTAACAGACGAGCAACACGGAGACAAGAAGTCACACAGTCAACGACCTTGTCAAGAGAAACAGAAACAACTTCTGCGCTTTCTTCCCCTGCAAAAATGGAATTTAAATAAGAATAAGTGGACGACTAATAGCTAAGTTATCTGGAAAAGATTGACTGAAAATACTATTATAATAGTTTAATTTAAGGCATCCAGATACGTAAGGCTTATGTAACTTGGGTACTTCTAATATGAGGCAATACCCATATCCGATACGTACCCATACATGTATCCAAACTCCTTACATAGATGCGCACACTTATTTGGGCTGTACTCAATTATACAATACATGTTTTAATTCAAAACACTTGTCATATATATTTTGGACATATACCCTACACTTCACACCCACTTCTTCCAACTCATTGGACATAGTTCAAGTTCTGAATTATGATTTGAAGGGTTGTTTGGATGTCTAGTTTAGAAACTAGTGATTTTTCAATTTATAATCCACATAATTAAAAAAACATAAAACTGTTACAGGACTTTTAATTCTCATCCTTGTTCTCATATAAATTATTAATTCCAATATATAATATATGTTATATAAATATTTATATAGCCATGTCCCCGTTCCCTACCTTTTACAAATTTGCCATGCTCTACACCCGTACCAGCACCTGTACCTGTACCCGTACCCCTCCCCATGCAACATTGTGTATGGCTGATGAAGCCTCAGATCAAAATACAGATCAATTATAGCTGATTTTGAAGCTTACTTCCAAAGAACGAGCAAAAGCTAAGGAGATTATGTTAAAATGTGCTTGTACTACAATCTACCCCCGGGACAATCATATTGACTATTGAGTAATAATGCCATATGCATACTGTAGAAACAATGCTGTTTTATGTTGCTACTTCCATTTTTTTTTCTTAGTAACTTCATAACCAAGGAGGGGAAGTTTTAAATTGAAGTTTCAAGTGTTATGATCTGTTTAAATAACTTCAGTAAGAAAATAAATAAAAGATATGTTAACCCGCTTTCTTTAAATAATTGTAAATACTTCTGTCTAATTCTTTATCTATAACATCAATTTATGTTTTTTGAGTTTACCTGTTCCAGAAGAAGTAACGAGAGATGAATTTGTAGGCTTCGCAGCACAGGCTTGACTAGAAACCTCATGTAGCATAGGAAAAACAGTGCTGAAAAAATCTGGATTATCAAAAGCTCTAATGACCTGAATATTGATGAAAGAAGAAATCAGATACAAGAAATTTGAAAGAATGGTTAGGGGTGTAATCGAAAACAGAAGCTTTGGTACTAAATAACTTATATATCTGTATTTTAACAAATAAATATACTAGGTATTCATTTATTTAAGGAGGAATTTCTGAAAAAGACCATTTTGAAAAATAATTAGCAAAATCGTTTTGTTAAATAATTAGCAAAATCAACCTCTTTTTGGCCAACCTTGATGATGTGGCCAAAAAGAGGTTGCTTTTGCAAGTTATCCTCTTTAAATTACATGGGACTAATAGTCCCGTGTAATTAGCAATTGCCAATTACAGTTTTAATTAAGCCCAGAATATACACGGGCCTATCAGTCCCATGGGACTACTAATCCATAAACATAATTCCCATAAAGTCATGTACATAACTTAATACATATATAAACAATCCAAAAAATTGCAACAAAATGCAATAGATAAACATATCGCGACAACACATTATTTCCATACACCAAAAAATCGCAACAAAACCAAATCAAGTGATTGGTTTACAAATAATATCGATAACTTAAATAGAGTCAATTTAGAAAAATCTATTAATCAATCACTAACAGCCTGACCGCCCCTTTCCTTTTGTCCCCCTCTTCTTACACGTTCAGAGTGTCACCATCCTCCATGGGCTTGAGCTTGCACGAGCTCGCTGTCCGGTTGCATGTGTGGTTGTGACGGTCCAGCTTTACATCAAAAACACGGGACTATCGTGCATTTGTCAGGTCGGGCATTGCTCTCTATTGAAAACACAGGACTGACAGTCCCATCTATATACATTGGGGCGAATTAAGTCAATTATTTACACAGGACTATTAGTCCCATGCTGTTAAAAAGTAGTTTAATCTCTTAACTAGCATTCGCTAATTACACGAGGCTACTAGTTGCGTGTATTTTAAAGAGGATATCTCGCAAAATCGACCTCTTTTTGGCCAGCTTTGATGGCGTGGCCAAAAACATGTCGATTTTGCAAATTATTTAGCTAAAGGGTCATTGTTGCTAATTATTTTTCAAAATGATCTTTTTCAAAAAATTCTCCTTTCTTTAATGCACAAAGAGGGTTCATGCTAAATATGCGAAAAGTCAACTATACACCAAGTACAGAAAACTATGCGCAAATACATATAGACCAAAATCTACTGTGTCACATTTTGTAGCAGCTAACATGATTTTATAGATATTATCTTATTTCAGCTGAAGGCTCGATTAAAGTTCTACTGATTGCTCTTTTCAATTATCAGACAACAACGTATATAAATCAAACTAAACACTCCTGGCTTCACATTGGCCTTTGGACAATGTGGATAAGCGTCCAACATAAACATGTGACAATGTCGGTCTAATATCATCTTGGAAGCCTCCCATGTTGCCAATAAGGGAAGAAGTTACAATTTCTTGACATACGTTGTTGCCAATAAGCCATTAGCTAAAGTCTTGGACTCTTTGGGCAAAGTGGTTATCCATGGATTCAAAACCACCTAGGCTCAAAACTACTCACATGCACATCTGAAGTGAATTAAACCAAAAACCAGTATGCAAAGACTGCCATAGAGTCAAAACCGCCTAGACTCAAAACCTACTCACAGGCACATTTACAGTGGATTAAAACAAAAACCAATATGCAAAGAAACAAAGTCCAAACATTGGCTTCACAAAAAATCAACCTGTGATGATGCTAATGAATAAATCTAATCACTCAGAAGCCCCACAAGTCACAAAAACATCAAAATTTTTGCGAAGTGACCATAATAATTGTTAATATTATTAGATGAAAGATCAATCAGTAACCCTATCCTGTGCGAAAGTAAATTCTTGATGAAGATGAGTGTTGAATTCAACATCCAAACAGTACCCTTTTTCATATCTGCATTTGCTAAACGAAAAACCAACACAAGTGGTAAATTCCGTACCTATTCTGCACCCCATTTACAACTCTTGAGAAAAATAAATGAAAGTACTATAGGACCCAACTTTTTTAACTGTGCAAATATAGGAAAGCTTGAAAAAGGGTCAAGTGTTATGGTCAAATTTCGGTGCACTACAGATGACAGTGAACTGTTGGCAGACGTTTGAACCAGTACATAGCAAGCATAAATTTCTGCACTACAGATGACCCAACCAATTTGCCTACTGTTGCCTTCGTGATTTATTAGTTAAATTAATAATTAGATCCTAAAACTTCTACTTTTATATTTTAATTGCTCCCTTTCATGATAGATTTAACTGCTATTGACGGGGAACAAATAGAAGATTCCAATATGAAGTGGATCTAGACTCTAAAATCTATTAAGATCAGAGCTAGATCTGATCGGCACTTGAGCACTAGCGGGTGAATCTAAACAGTGATCACTCCAGAGACGGTGTTACCCATGGAGGGAAGTTTTGAATCTAAAACATTTGAATAAAAAAATACACAACATCGGGACTCACACCTGGTAACTCACATGTCGAATACAAAATAGCTACTCACATGCAAACATATTTCAAAAGAAGCTGATATTTCATATATTTTTCTCTCCTCAAATGAAGAAGTACAATTTTATTATGCCTTCTTGTTTCGTGTTTGGATGATCTCTGGCTGTGACCACACTTTTCTAAGTGCTGACATCTTCAAGTTGGATGATCTCTGGCTGTGACCACACTTTTCTAAGTGCTGACATCTTCAAGTACTCCGGGCAAAGTTAACGTTACTGTTTTGTTGCCGTTTGTAACAAGCTGGACATATATAGTATATATTCTCCAGCTTGAGGGGAAGTGTTAGGATAGCTGGGTAGTTATTTATGGTACTTCTTGTTTACCAATTTTCTTTACCTTGTACCCCAAGTTTACCTGTACCCCAAAATTCCTCTCTTCTCAGAGATGTGAGACGTCTATACTAAAATTACCTTGGCTTCTTTTCCTAGACAGTTAGTTGTCAATTATGCTGTGACAGATGATGCATCAATTTCCCTATGATTCTTAGCAGGCATGCACAACTGCAACAATGTCGCTTTACTAAGCTAATTCCAGAAAATTGGAAGAGTTTTCGTAATTTTCCTATTTACAAACCAGGTAAAAATATAGGTCATATGAATAAAAAAACAAGGTCTGGCGCTCTTTTGCCACTTTGTTTGCAACACTCAATACACATTACTCTTGATTTTCAAAATAAAAAGAACGTAAATCTGTTTGTCTTGTGCTCCCTGGCATCGGGGACAAACCATACCCATTTTACAGTGCCTGATAAGACTAGTCCAAATTTGTTGTGACCATACCGTGGACATTATCTACTTATACATGTTCTCCGTCTACACATGTTTAGTCAAATGATTAATATTTACAAAGAGTCAATGAATTTACCATGCATCTGAAACTTATACATAACGTCTGTGATCTTCTTCAAGTATACATAAGACTAAGCCTCTTTTCCTCTGATAATATGAAGTCTAAATGACCACAATTGTTCAGCTAGTCTAGAAATTTCTAACAGTTGACACTGCTATATCATTTCAAATATTATCATTTTTAGACAGTAACATAAATGCATATATGTTTACTTTGAAAGCATATAGGTACCCATTATCTTGATATGTTTAAACAAGCCAATAACCTACTGTGAAAAGAAATCAATATCACCTGTTCTAGACATGAGAAAGCTGCTTCCCTGTAGGTTTTTGCTTTCTTTGTACAAGCAGAAGTTATAGCACTTAGAATAATGTTTGGAGTGGCAGGATCTTCGGAAGCTATTGCACCATGACAAGATGAAGTAAGCGAAGCAATGGAGTGCAAAATAACATCTTTTCCCTGCAATCAGCAAGAGTACTTTTCTGAGCAATCATTACAGATGTAAACTTCTGCAATTTATTAGCTGAACCATGACATATTTCACAAACTGGTACAAGCAGATGCAACATTATAATTCTATTATCTTTTGAACTAGTCTTAAAAGCTACAAATAAAGGACCTTTAACCAATTATGTACAGTTTACTATCAGAATTTCTTTGTTTCTTTAATTTTCTTTTATACTGGTTATGCACATTGTAGAAATTTATCCAACCATCAACGATGCAACAGCCCAGTCTAAGTCAGGCACCAAAATACGTACACATTAAATAATCTTATACATGAAATATCTCATAATGCTGAGGCACAATATATCTTGTGGAAAATATCGAACATAGACTGTAACATGCAAACCTTATGTCAACAATTTTCTTCTATTACGTTTCTTAAGCACACATACCTCCCATAAACGACCAGGTATCTCTTTTAGAAGGCAATTAAGAAGAATTCGATGGACGGAAGCAAGAGATTCACCCAGGACATCACTGAGTTTTCTTATTCCCTTGGCTGACTGCAGATATAAGAGACCCATGATGAAATATTAGAAACCATAAATAAAGAAATATAAAAATAAAAAAAGTGACACAAATACAACAGGCAAAATGCTTAGCACTAATCATCCTAATGCTACCTAAGTGATAACTATGGGTGAAAGAAAAGGAGTTTCCAGGATAAGCACCTTTCTTTTACTTGCCCATGACAATGATGAAATGGAGTCAGATAGTAGATTAACAATTTCTGTTAAGTACAGCTGAAGAGTGACTCTCTCAGTGCTTGAGTTATCTTCCCATAGTTCCTCATATAAAGTATTGATATCCTTATCATCATCAAATCTGCGAAATATTAAAAGATGATAATCCTGCTAAACATATCAATAATGGTGTAATTTATATTTATAAGTATATATTTTGCATAAAGCTGAATCTAATTTAACAAGTAAACTTAAATACTATCTGCATGTGGCTTTTGGCAACCAGCGACTCCTAAGGGATTAGCAAATTATGAAACTAAGGAGAAATGATAGTTAAATCAATAGTCTATGAGAATTAATAACAAATTGCAAAAATTTGTAGCCAAAGGCTATACTTAAACTGCTAGTATGCTCCTGAAACTAAAGAAAAATAAGTTATATGCATAATAAAACAAGTATAATTATATCTAGTAAATTGTATGGAATCGACAAGAAACCAGATCAAGACTGCAAATACTACTAGAAAGATCCTGGATTGGCCATATGAATCCTTTCCTCAATTTAACTATGTCAAGATTACTTAAACAGTTAAGTGGGCAATCATTATCTTTTTTTATTGTCTCAATCCATGTGATCTGTGAATCACTATTGCTTGGTGAGATATTGCTTTGAGGGCTCATCATGATATACTAATATAGAATAGTAAGAAGGAATTTCATGTTACTGCCTGAAAATCTATTACAGAAATTGCATGCTCTGTGAAATTCAAGTTAATATACACGCACATCTTTATAAATCACAGTAGTTATATTGGAAATAATATTGCAGTTTAGTCAAGTTTATCCCTGAAAGTGGATAAGCTTTGCGGTATAGTTATGTGCGTTAAATACTTATGACCAATGTTGAAAAAAATGATAATGCATAACGTAATGTTCTAGCTCTTGTTAAGGGTTAAAGGGGAAAAAACGTAATGCATAACGTAGGTTACTTTGTTTATCAATTATTTACATATTTTATAAATACAAACTATTCATAATAACTTTAATAATTAGAATCATCATAATTTTCAAACCTAACATCACAAGCAGGAAAAAATATTTACTTACTGTTTAATTTTAAAAAATATAAAAGATGTTCATAATAATTTTAAGAATTTTGAATAAAATATCATAATACAAAAATATTTTAATAAAAATTCTTAAATTAACAGAAGCTATATAAGATTTACTAGGAAGTATCACAATCGAATATTCAAATATAAAATCATAAATTTATATCTCGTCCATAATTACATTTTTTGTATTAGTCATATTCACAATTTCACACCACATAATGATGTCACCAAAACAAAACAGGAAGGCTTAATAAACAATTCAAAAATAATTACTTAATACATCAATTTTTGAGAACTGATATACTCTCAAGTCTCCAGAACTTATATTGCAATAATGTAAGATATATTGACATAATGTATGTTATTTTAAAATAATGTAAGCTATATTGAAATAACACATATTATATTGTAATAACGTAGAATTATGATGTGTCTAAGACTGGGTTATTTCATAAGCTTACATAACATTTAAGACCTGTTAGGTAACATAACGCAACATAATGAGTTACTTAACGGGTTTTTTCTCAATGATGCTTATGACCTTGAAGGGAAAGCTTTATAAACAAGATACACGACAACTCATGCTTCATGAGTCAGAAGGTCAAGTGAACACAAGTTCACAAAATAGATGCTACAAAATGAGAATGCTGGATTGCACGAAAATGCTAAAATATAGGATAATAAATGAAAGCAAATGCAAACACGAGGACTATTCTAGGATCACAGCTGATGAAGCAAAGAGGGAAGAAACCTAAAAGAACAATTTATATGACAAATCTTACATTTCAGAGACATTCCAAAGTTAGTAATAAAATCATTAATCAATAAATGTAAATTACCAGTGATGAATATCCAACACAAACCTTGAAAGAAAGATAATAGGCAAGATCGTGGCATGATATCCATTAACAACATCTGCTGCAAGGCTTGAATAGTTTTTCAGAAGTATTGCACACGAAATCTGAGAATTTCTATCACCTGAATGCAAAGCAGCTGTGTTTTCAATAATCTTTTGGGCCTGGGATGGACTTGCATACTTCAAAATGATGGCACAAGAAGAGGCAAAAGATCGCTTTGCATAACCACTCTTCTCATCCAACACAGCACGAAATAAAACATTTGATAGCATATTGACATATGGTTTGATGTCAGTGGTTACTTTCTGAACCAAAAATGTGATAAAGCTGGCCACACCAACCCTGCATGCCGAAGAGTGCCAAAGGTAAGAAGCTGAGACCTATGGAAATCTGTGTACACTCACTCTTCTCTGATAGGCAAGATATCAACCACCAAAGTAACAACACAGTAATACAGGTGACACATAATTTTTTCCAGGAAGCATTGTATATTTCATGGAATAGCATGCGTACCAAAGTCCTTAAAAAGAGTTGAGGAATGTTTTTAAAAGATGATTCCACCCATAGTATAAAATGCCTTCTACAGTTACGAAAAATTGCTTCATAATATTCATGATCACCAATATATAAGAGATATGAAGAGAGGGCCCATCCATAGAAGCAAATGCAGTTTAAACTTATTAATATTATCCGACAAGTCTATAGGAGAATCCACATTTCTAAAGAACTGCACAGACAAAATACATCAAAAAGAAGCAAAATATAACAAAAGGAAACAAGTCCACAAGATAGAAGCAACAAGGTTTGAAGTAGTGGAAGATGCTGGCACTTAAAGGCAATATTGTATTGGATTCACTGACACAATGCACACACAACGCACGCACATGCACACTAAATGCGTGTTTTTACTGGTATACTAAAGAAAGATATTAGAGAGACTGGATGAAATCTGACATAAGAATTAGTTTTTGTCTATATAGGTTTGCGTTAAAAAAATGCTTAAACCTATTGAAATGAGAAGATCATGCAAATAATATTTTCATACTACACTGGATTGGTTAGTATAATACATCCTTTTTGGGCCTATTACATATACTGACGTGAGATTATAGCTGATTAGGGTTTAATGAGGATTCTGAAAACTGCAGCATCAGGAGCAACACCAGAATTTTGTTCAAGGGTAGAAAACAATGGCCAGTAAGACTTCGAAACAAAATCTGAATTGGCTTTATCCAGTTGTTTTTTTAATGAGCACTGTGAACTATCCGTTTCAAAAAGAATAGTCGATCAAACCGAAAACAACATTAACTCAACAACTAAATAAATGAACTTCTAAATGCTGTATTTCCTTAGTTATTTTTTCAGGATGTTTTGGTTCGCAATAGACGCTAGGGTCTTGATCGAGCTATGTAGCGCTAAAGTGATATTAACTACTGAGATTAAATTTGTGGTTCCATCAGATTAAATAGCAAATTGTAACACTTGGTTTCCACACTGTCTTGGAATAAAATTGGATGGGCTGTTGTTCCTTCTCCATTGCTATTAATCCCACATTCTTCATTAGTTCTGTTTGCAAAAGACCTGAGTTAACTGTAGAGTGTTCAGAACTATATTATATAAGATTCCCTGTTTGGTGAACCACTCAGCGTATTAAGTACTTAATCAGGTACAAAATTCAACCAATTCTTTTAGGTGACTGGTCCACCAATCAGTATATGGGAAGGAGTCTCGGAGAATTGAAGGCTGAAGTATACCCAGATAGGCATTTTCATTCAGATCCGTGTGAGCATGTCTCCCCCCTGAGCACAAACCATATGATGGCTTCAGAATTGCACAGCATAAACAAAGTTGATGTAACAACTTGAAGATATTTTACTTTCCTCCAGAAGCATGTACACCAGTAAATGTTTTTCTTTTTCTCAAATGCTGACCGGGTTCACTTTATGAACTTATTATGAGAAAAATAGAGTATAACAACTTATGGACTAGACTAATTGACGCGACTGACATAACAAAATCAAACCTAACTAGACACGTAAGGACCTTAAGGATAGAATATGAATAAATAAGAACCTACAATATTAAAGTTTGAATAGATACTTTACTGCATCAATGCATTTTTCTGCATCAGATAGTTTCTTGAAATTAGTCACATGTATATTTGCATAATATACTTTATCCAAAGAAAAATATCACCTTCAGGAATTTTAGTTCTTGTAGCCAGGGAAAGTGCATGAGAATGAGTGATCATAATACTGGATTTGCAATTCAGTATTGTAATTTTTAGAATGGTCTCTATATAATGACATATGCAACTTATACTGAACAGATATCATCTATTAGTCCATAAACTAGTTCTCTCAAATAAGATAAATAACTTAATCAGAGAGAAGTTGGTGATAACACTGCAAATTTTTATTAATGGCTGCAACCACGTAAATCATTATGTATGTCTTGCATAGTAATATACCTGGTGTTAAGACCAACTCCAGATCTAACCATCTGCATGAGACGAGGAACTAATAGATCCAAGGATTGCGCATCAACAACTTTAAGACACAGATCAAGGGTTTCCCACATCGGTGAATCTTTCGCGACTGCTATTCGCAGATTTTCAAGTTTTTCTGTCTGAATTCCGACATTTGCCGCATGCAACTGTTTTACATAAAAAACTATGAAAATTGTATAAAGTAAAAATGTTGCAAAAATAATCTAGTAATTAATAGTAAGGCCACATGATATCATAGGCATACTCTGTCATTCATCATCGAAACAAATAAAATAAGAAGATCACGCAGGACAAATTGTAAATTGAACATGGACTAACCTCAACATAGTTGAGCCTCTGATCTTCTAGGCTTGACAAACATTCTAGCATGCAGCAAACAAGATCAGGCAAATGTGGTCGAATTGCTGTTCCAGCACCCTGAAATAATTGAAAAGATAAATGAGCCACAAAGAACAATCAATAAAGAGCACCACATGTAAAGAACAGAAACGCAACCACTATAGAAGAATGATCACATTCTTATAATCTTATGTAGTACAAACCTCAACGAGAAAGAAAGGATTTCCAACAAAACAAATAATAGTAACAACTACAAATACAGCCTTAATGGCTTCAGAGAACCTTATCACCTTCAACTAAAGTTGACAAGATAGGGGGTCATTTTGGAGTGAATTAAGTCGACTTTGAATTCTGATGTCATTTTTCAAAAAAATCTAAGTGTCTGAGTCTGAGGTGACATCTAAAAGTTGAAGTCTCCAGGTAACACAGTTCTCTACAAAAGAAGATCTAGCTAATATAGAGAGGCAAAGTACTTTTAACAATTAAATCTAAAAAGACAGTAATGCACCTTAGTAAACTTTCGAAAAAATAAGCATGTGTTAATGGTGTCTTACTTAAAAAAACATAAGCATGCAGTCATTTTCAAAAGACACAAAGGCCAAAACATTTATGAAAAACCCCCACCTTAGAAAGTTTCATAACAATTGCTATCGATGCTTTCTGTATGCTGGAGACTTTACTCACTATCCCTTCAACAAGAAAGAAAGGCAAAACAATATTCATCGTCTCAGTAGCATCTGAGGCTGCAGTCAGTGATACGTCACAAAGCCTGGTGGTCAGTGAAGTAACAGCACGACATAAACTGTCACCAGCATTCCGTACAGTTTCTTTTATGTCATCCATAGCACGAAATGTTGTGGACCATATTCTTCGCAAATGCTTAGAAACCTGGAAAACAACATAAATGGCTAAGCAAAGAAGATATGATAATGGATAATCAACTTCCAACCTAGAACTCCAAAAATGAATGTCGATTGTGTGTAACAAGAAACTATTAGTCAGAAAAGCATGTTAATGAATACTCATTTCACACACAGAAACATGTGTGTGTGTGTGTGTGCGTGTGTACATACACGCGCGCACACATATATATATGCCAAGCACAAAACATAGATGCTTCCCATCCACTCATTTAAAGGTTCTCATTTAAAAATGATTCCCACTTGATTACCCAGCCATTAAACAAGTGGATGAGAAGTGGTCACGTTACTACCAAGCGCCAAATTTGATGCATGGTACCAAGCATACCTCTCTCTCTCTACACACACATGAGAATAATGGGTATGCTTGGTACCAAGCACAAAATTGGTTCGTGGTAGTAATGTTGATGCTTGTCATCCACACATTGAAAGATGTTCATTTAAAACTACGAAATAACTAGCCTGGTTATGCCCACCTTCAAAACTATATTATATACAATCAAGTTATTTGATCCACTTCGCTCATTTTGATCTATATGTTTTGGATGATATATAAATAAAAAATTAGACATATTTGGTTATAGTTATTCATGTATCAAGTGATTGAAAAAGTAACGATTTTACGACGATACAACTAACGAGACAATGAAAAGTATGTGGTAAAATTATTGAAACATCATGATTTTTAGTTTGTAGATGTTTTGAGACATTAAATCATGATGAATGGAGCATTCTAACACATGCATTAAGAGGTCTCTCTTGTCGTATTGTTAGGATACCTTTAATTTTTGTAACCATTTGATGCATATGTAATACATCCTCAATTCACATGATTATTTATTTGCGGACCTTTTAAGATATATTGATCAAGATGAATAGAGTTGATCGTCCAATTTCATTGCATAATACACATCTTTGTTAGTGGGGTGAGTAATCAAGTGGGAACCATTTTTAAATGAGCACCTTTAAATGTTGGATAAGAAGCATCCATGTCACTACCAAACACCAACTTTGTGCTTGGTACCAAGCATACACATTATTCTCATATATAAGGAATATATGAGTATGCTTGGTAGTGAGGTGGAGGAATCTGATCAATAGATGTGAGATCAGATGGATGGAAAGTACATTCTCATGTGACACATTTTTTCTTTACACTTTACAACCTTAGATGTTGGGTTGAGATGCTTTAGTACTAAGCACGAAGCCCCCACCTCTCTCTCTCTCTCTATATATATATATATATATATATTTCTTTTTTCTTGTGGATCAGTAATAGCATCTATAGTATCAAGAATAAATTGTTCGTGTTCGCTTAAAGTGTTTAACTGGGAAGTTTCCGAAGAGCTTTCAGAGAAGTTGAAACAAGTGCAAAGATTATTGCATAAATCTTCACAATCTGAGGAATCATCATCACTAATTCTCAAATTATTAAAGTCCGTAAGGGTTTTACACCTAAAATTTATGAGTTGTTCTCTGACTTTATCTTGAAGGCTATCGACAAGACCTATAAAGTGATGATATATAGCAAGGATTGGTTCACCATATTAAGTTTTTTTATAACTATTTAAAATATTATGTTTTTGTGAATCAGTAAGGTACCGATCCCACCATCCCTGTAATTGACCAGAAAATGATGAACATAGGCCACTAGCAATATCTTTTTCGGGATTACCTTGTTGTCTACAAGCATTGGCATATATAAGCATTTCTTGTAAAAGATGTATTATCTGGTATTCAGTATAACCATCAAGGTTCCATTCTACAAGGGAGTTACCATCAAAACTTATTTTTTGGCTATTAAATTCTTCAAATTGCATATCGGCAGGAGTTGGTCTCCTATAGTAATTCATTGTATTATTGGAAGAATATGGATGTTTTTTAATACTCTGGATTGTTAGGGGTTTGTCGAAATCATGATCAGAGTGGGTCATATCATCAAATTGTGATTCAAGATCAGATAGGACATTGATAGCAAGAGATTTTCCTTTTTTTATATCTTTTAATCTATTGGTTGACTCTTCATTAAAATCCTTTATTTGTTCATCAAAAGCTTTATTATTTCTTAAATTGGTATTGGTAAAAATCTGAGGTGGAAAAGGTGGCGTAACCATTGAACAAGTAAGAGGTTTCTTTATGTCAAGAATCATATTTTCAATTCTATCCGTTTGTTTACCTATTGTCTGAAGGTGAATATTGGCAAATATTATAATATATATATATAATATATATATTATATATATAATATATATATAAGAGAGAGAGAGAGAGAGGAGAGAGAGAGATAATGGGGTATCCTTGTCATTAGGAAGGATTTTCCTCCTTGTCGCCTATGATGGGATACAATTCCTCACCATCCTTATAAAGTAGAGCACAATTTCAACAAACTCACACCTCTCTCCTACCTTATGAGGATAGTGTGGATTGTACCACCTAGACGTCAAGGAGGAAATTCCCTCGGCTAATGACAGGATACCTGCATTAATCTTATCATATATATATATATTATATAATATACTAGAGAGAGAAGAGAGAGAGAAATGATGGTATGGCTTAGTAACCAAGCACAAAAATTATGGCTTGGTAGTGAGGTGGCACAATCCCCTCCAACTCATCTCAATGAGGATCGCACATTCACATGGAGTTGAGAAAATACATGAGCAATATACACAGCCATTCTGAATGAGCTAGAGGGGGATTATGCGCTACCTGCACTACCAAGGCACAACTTTTGTGCTTGGTACCGAAGGCATAGCGCCATTTTTGCTCATAATATATATATATATATATATATATATATATATATTATATATATACTATAATTGGGTGATGGTTGCAATATCAGCACGTGTAACTAAGTTAATTACACACATTGCAAAAATACACAATTTTCCATCTATCTTGTAAATCCAAACCTTTCATTGTTATCTATACGTCAGCAAACACATATAGATCAAAATCCATGTGGTTCGAAATTTTTTATCCTATATTTCAAGCAACTCAAAATAAACAACATTTTAGACCGTTTATAGACTGTACATTTCTAGGTCTTTAGATGTATAAATTATAAATATCTAATCTATGTGATTTTTTATCTCTACGAAATTTTGAATGCATAGATCATAAGTAACAACACGGATCGTCAATATCCATGATGAAACATGTATTTTACAAGTGTGTATAACTTAGTTACACCATGTATATTTTATAACCATACCATATATAAATATATATATATAGAGAGAGAGAGAGAGTGTGTGTGTGTGTTTTTGTGTGAGAACATGCGAATACTATAAATTCAATTTTGAAAATCAGAGTTTCAAAATAAAAATCCAAACTAGTGGATGTGATCTACTACACACAAACTACTTAGAGGGAAAAATTTTCAAAGGATTTCGAGTGTTTTGAATTATATTTCAAAGGGCAAAAAATTAAGCAGTTCTATGAAAATTCTGAAACATTGATTTTGACGATATATTATGCATAAAGTTAATGATGTTGAAATCTTTTAAAACTTTTATTTCTCATAGTTCATGTATAGTAGATCATATCCACCAGTTTGAATTCTTCTTTTTGGGTTTTGAATTTAAAACTTGGGTTAATAGTATCCGCATATTAGCTACTACTAATAGTAGCCTAGCTTATCTCTCTATACACACACATACACACACTGATATACATGTGTGTATACATATATAGAGAGAGAGTAAAACTAGAATAAACTTAAGTTGATTGAGGGTTTTAACCACCAATTTTTTATCCATTATATTGCTTTGAGATCCATGTTGGCATGTTATACTTATAACATCAAGGAGATGTGGGCCTTGATATATATCATATGCTAACATGAATCTCAAAGTAAATATAATGGATAAAAAAAGCTGATGTACAAGAGCTTCTATCAACTTTATAAGAGTTTATATATTACCAAACAATGATAAATAGATGCCCTGTATTATCACCTGAATAAATTTGCGCCCTTGAATAATGTCTGCAAGAGCAAGACAGGAAGCTTCACGGGAGCGCCATAGTCTAGATCCAGATTGTATTAGCAAATCCTCCACAATAGGATCAAAATATTCATCAACAGTTTTCTTAGGTTCTGCAACAATTGACTTCCAAATGTGCGCCATAGCATCCTATCAGAAAAAGTAACTTTCTAGTTAGCCACAAAATCATCATTCAAGTACAATTGGAGGGGAAAACAAGATATTGAAAAGGAATTGTACATCAGAGGAGGTATATTCAAGCTCAAATTTAGCCTGGTTAAGCTCCCCTTCAATAAGTCTTAAAAAAGATAAAAGAAATTCGACAATTCTTGCATGATGATGATAACATTAACATGATTACATAGAAAGAGGTTATAGTTTACAGATGCTCGAGAACGCCAATAGATGTAATAAGGATAAGGAGTAGTGCATAATACTTTTATGGATCACCATTTCGTTATTGAATTACATGTAATATGGCCAGGAGAAAACTCAAACATCATCAAATTTAATGTGCAAGTACTTATCTATGTTCAAGCAATTTTATGGATTCAAGAACTTCTAACACAACCTTTAAACCAAGATGATCATCTATCAATTTCCATGGAAGAGTACATAACTTTTTCTGCAATCTATAGATCAATTTAAAATATAAACAATCATAAGAATCTACTTAAGAATTGAAAAGCAATACCAACAAGTTGCACCTTAAGCTAATATGAAATGAGATAGCAAAGTGATATCAACAAAAAAGGAAAGACATGTTTATCATCTTTGGATAGTATGATCAAGACATGGACTTAACCGAACTATTGAAACAAGATAACACCAAAATAAATACTAACTTGTATTTTGGTGCTTTTATATGGGCCTTCCATCCATGCAGGGTAGTTTCAAAGAAATATAAATACTATTTTATAACTAAAAACTTGCAACCACTCGCGCAGGATAGAAGGCGCACAAAGGCATGTGAGCCAAACGCCCACAAGCCACAAGTTTAGCCCAAAACCAATTATTGAGAAACAGTTAAAATAGTTTGGGCCAATCTTATGGATTTACTCCAAACTACCCCAAATCCAATATGATAACAAAAAATAGAATGTCAAAAGGGACAAATAGTGGTTAATTTTTTGGGATTATTTCCAATTCACTCAATTTTAACCAATTTCTTCCACAAATTGAATAGTTTAAATTCCCATTGAATTTTTTAGGCTTTTTCATCAATTCAAGAGACAACTAGTGGTGTATTCTCTAAACTCTAAAGGTTCAATTTTTTCCCTTTTCATTCCCATGATTTTTGCTTTATTTATTTACTATTTGTATTGTTTGTTTTATAAGCCCTGGATGTAAATAGTTTATTTAATTATTTATTTGATTATATCAATGTGTTGCATTTTTAATATGTTGGCAGTTGATATGTTAGGCAAACAAAAGAAACTTTCGTTTACGGTAAAAAACGTCATACGCAGCGCAATTCTAGGATTAAATTTTTTACTTTAGTTTGATCTTTCCTCACAAAGAGAGGTGTCTGTCTATTTAATTTGTTCCACATACATTGTTAGTGTACAAGCCATCAAGCTTTCATATGAATCAATTGTCTAACAAAGAAGCTAGGGCTAACACAGAGTATAGAGATGAGGATGTAGATGAGTAGAATGTAGGTGAAGTTCAAAGCTTCCCAGCATAAGCTATTTCAAGGATTTAGCTATTTGATATGGAGTTTATGCTTGTCTTTGTTATGCATTAAAGCACATGCCTCAGCATACTCCAGTCTATTAACTGTATTAGTATTATGCTGCAGAGTTGTTTAACTATTTAGTAAAATACTTAGAACACTTTAGTTCTAACTGCAATAATTTTAATTAGCTTCATAGTTTACTATGGTGTTAACCCACTAAAACATAAAGATGATCATTATTATTTGCTCAAGACATCAAGCTGTTAACTGCTTTTTGCCTAAACTCGTAACACTGAACATGACTTATTTAACCTTTGCAACAATTCAAAACTTCTTGACATATTTTTTTTCGATTATCAACTTTTAAACATTTCAGCAGTAATAAAAGATTTTTCTTTTTTTTTTTTGTGCGTAATGGTGCATTATTCAATTATATGTTATGTGATTCACTTACGTGTATGCTGTCTACGAGATCAGAATGCATGCGATATGTGCACGCCCGTAAAATAACAGTATCTCTCATATTTTTTTCCAATTAATGGAAATATTGATCAGACTCCTCAATATTTACAGCTAACAGTTCTGCTATCTGATCTAAAATTTGCCAGTATCTCATAGATCAGGTGACTGTTCTTTTGGGTAAATTAGATACATTGTGAATCATCTCTATAAATTTTGAACTCTCTTTAAGTTTAGATACACATACACAAAATTTTAGAGTGAAATGAAATTTTTTTAAGTGTACACTTTTTGTTTTGAACATGATCCTTGGCTTGCTTAAGGTTATTGGTTAATGCTTTTCTTTCTTCAAACATTAGTTTTTGATGGTTACAGGCTTTTAAAATTCGCACTTAGTACAAATTTATATGCCAAAAAGAATAAAAGATTGATTACTTAAAAGTAAATTTAGAGTTCCACGTGTTGGTTGACAATTGGAATCCACAAAGATGATGAATTTTGCAGAGAACTCTTAGATACTTGTTCAATTTAGAGTTTCACGTGTAGGTTGCCAATTGGAATCATGAAGATGATGAATTTCGTAAAGAACTCTTAGATAATTGTTCCAGAAAACCAAGAAACAGGTTTGCATTCCCCTGAAGTCGATCTTAAGACTCCGATACCTTTAACATGACACATTGTGACACACTGAGACATTTTAACAGTCATCGCCTTAGATTCCCCATGTATGACCTATTCCTTAGACATAAGAAAGTGGAACAAATTGCACATTACAAACATAATGTCGAGAATACAGGCATAATAAACACTTTCAACAACTCACAGACGTACTTATCAAATTATCTACAAGCTAAATTAATGGTCTAGTTGAAATGCAGATATCATCAAGTATTTCAAATATATTCTATAAAACTAGAGATAATTTAATACCTGAACATTTTTATCAGGGTCATACTGGTATCGGATAAGCCTAGGGATCAATGAACGTAGATGTGGTTGAAGTGCATCACCAGCTTGCTTTGCTATCTTGGAAAATCCAAAGGCAGCACCCCTCTTTGAATTTAGAGCAGCCTGATAGTTTGCAAGATCCATGAACTTGTAGATTAAGTCAGGTTGCCCCATCTCATTAGCAAGACCACAAAGCTCCTTGTAAGTGCTAAGTTTTCCACCGCCAAGGTTTTCACCAATAGCCCCTTCTTGAAATACTTCGGAATCCTCCGTCAACTATAAGTTCACAAATTAAATAAATATGCTTTCCTGTAATACAGGACGCAATTCTTACAGAACACAGACACAAGCATTGAAAGTAGATATAGACTGCACCTTGATAGCTCTTTTCCTTTTCCCAGAACCAGTCAATGTGCCTACAAGAGCATTAACAAGGTTCTGCTTCATGCTTGAATCCCCGAGGTCATACACAATACTCATGCCTTGAGACGCCAGTTCCTGTGTAAGTTCATTTTGCTCCCCAAGAAGGTGAGAAAATGCCTCCTGTAAAAACCACAGATATTCATGAGCTTCCTCTGTGTTCCACATATAATAAATTCACAAATGAGTAATAAGAAACCACAATAAACGTCACTCCAAGACTAGCATGATAAATGATTATTACCCCGGCAAGAAGATATGAGAATGCAATAGTTTGGAGCAGAACACCATGAAACTTCAAGTATGGACACATTGAAAATTCTAAATTTTCTTTAAAATAAAGGCCTTCAAAATTTAGCAAATAAAATAACTAATTAGATGTACCGGGTGCAAGTTTTACCCCCAATTTGACTGAAACTTCTCTAGATCCCATCTCTCCCCCTCTTTATTTTTAAAGCATGAGGTGGATGTAGTGAATACTCATTTGACGATAATATGAAATAATTATTAGTTCAAGGTTACAATAGTTGCCTTGTAGGTTTCTTCTGACAATGACAATTTACTAATACTTACCCCCTCTTGTTATTCAGATGTCCTTTTATCTTTTTTCTTTCTTTCTTTCTTTCTTTTTTTTTTTTTTTGGTAGAGCAACAAAACATATTGTTTAAGCCCAATAATATATTGATTGTTTACCCCAAATATGAGGGTGAGCCTTGGCGCAACTGTAAGGTTGTTGCCTTCTGACCTGGAGGTCACGAGTTCAAGACTCGGAAATGGCTTCTTCGCATGTGGGGTTAAGGTTGCAAAAATCTAACCCTCCCCTAAGCTCGCAACGGCCGGAGCCCTGTGCGCTGAGCTACCTTCTACCCCAAATATCCTTGATAACTACTAAAAAGAATATATCAATAAAGGGAAAATTTGCCTCCACCCCTAGGTTTTAAAAAGTTTGCTTCCTCCCCCCAAGAAACTTTTGCCATGTTTCCATACCCAGATACGAAAACCCAAATATATTTTCTGAAAGTTCCTAAACTGCCCTTGTCTTCTTTCTCTTAGTTCCCTTTTTTCTCTCTCATCCCTCTCATGAACCCATCATACCATTCCATCTTTCGTCTCCTCCACGTGCCACCTCTGCTTTCTTCCAGAGTGGGGTGGTGGGAGGCCCAAAGGGAGACAGACAAGAAGAGGGCAACAAGAGGGGGAGGACACAGGAGCATTTGGTGGTGAGGTAAAGGAGAGTTTGCAAGGTAGCGGGCAGCACGGAGAAGAGAGAATTTAGAGAGACAAAAGGCCATATTCCTCTAACCTCACTCCTCTCATTAATGAAGCCCCCTCCATCACGTAGGGGAAGCAACAATCCCAAATAGCTGACAGTGAATTAGAAATGAGATGGAAAAGAGCAACTTTAAACAGGTCATTCGGGTAATGATTGGGTATTCAGGGTCACCCAGTATAACCCGAATAATAAACAGGTAATTTGGGTCAACCCACAAATAAGCATGCCAATATATTTTGACCCATACCCGTTACAACATGTTCAGTTTCTGCTCGAGTCGACGTGTCAAATAATGTTTGCCACCCCTATAAACAACAATAGAAAATAGACCATAACAGTATATGCAAATTCTTCATATGTGCTTGTAAATGTGAAATTTTCTAGTTCTCAAAAAGTTATTTAGTTTAATGTAATTTGGACTTTTGAATCTCTTAATATTTTATACACGCGCAACTACCTAAAATGTGTTGATGTAGTCTGGCGACTATCCCATGTATAAATGTAAACATCAAGGGAAAATCAGTGAAAGATGTATATATAAGCAATTGAAAAATATAAATTAACAAATGATTCAGGGAAGAGAAAACCTGTATCTCAGGAAGAAGTTGCTGCAGTTTCGGCTGATGCCCACAGTACATAGTCAACGACACAAGCCAGACAGTACCTGCACAGCGTTCCTCTTTTCTGCTACTGTAAAGAAGATCATCAAAGAGTTTTTTTATTATCACTTCTCTGGCCATGCAATGAGAATCATCACTATTGTCACTATCAGATGGGTTATTTGCCATTATAGCTGAGGGCATTTCACCAGTGAGATAATTAGAACTCTGCGAAAGTGAGCTGTAGTTTGATTTGAGTATTAGATCAGGTGTAACTGGGACTCCTCCCCATATAAATGATAAAGCCTCCCCAGCAGCAAAAAGCACATCTTCCACCTGAATAACGATTACGCTAAAATGTAAAGACAAACTAGACACTACGCAGTCATTACAATAACTGGAATTTTGCCACACGCGCGCGCAAGGAAAAGAACTAGAACTTTCAAATGCGAGGGCATAACAACACACCTTTGACCGGCAAAGTCCAAATATTAAATCAAGAGCAATGTTTAGGTGGGCTACTGATTTTTCCTTAAAAGAAATATGTCCCAGAGAGATAACAATCTTTTGGATTGCTTTGGTATCATTATCGGCAAGTAGCTTACTTAATCTTTCACGCAAAATTGGTAAAACCCCAGCTGCAGTGTTATATGCATCATAAATTAGTGGAAATAGCACGTGCCCATTAAAACATTTCACTAAAATATTTTTAAACATCTGGAATATGATAGCAAATATTACCTGAAATGGAATTACGATCAAGTGCAGGCAATGGATAACGAAGACCAATATGACCGATTGCTTCAATTGCAACAGATGCCAAAGTTGCGCTTTCTGATTCGATCACATCTACCAGACGATTAACGATACTAAATAACAGTGCCTCGGGGATCTGTGACAAGATGGATTACAATAAAGATATTAGTGGAAAGTAGGAAAGGTTGTGAGTCACAACGTGCACAGATTGAAATGTGAGCATAGCACAAGTCTCAAGGCAGAACATTCACTTAATTGATGTAGGACAATGGTAATACACAGGATTCAATGTCACAGTAAAATATGACTTTATAATGTTTTCTTGGCTCACATATCTTGGATGACTTAGTATCTGGTTCTGACATTTTAGAATGTGCAAACATTCTGGCCACAAAATCAACAGAGCATGTGAAATCTCTTTATGTTGAAACACTAGGATCTGACTACTATTTGTTCAATTGTCTCACTACAAGATATGAAGATATTATGCCTGCTAATATAACTAGGATATTCATGGAGAGGAAAATGAAATTTCTTTGATAAGGGACTTTTGCTTCCAACAACAGAAGATTCCAGTTTGCAGGTAACAGCTCATAAAATTATACGAGAAAATGTGTTGCGCTACAGGAAATATATATATCCTGATAGATAGCAAACAATAGTAGCCAGAAACTTTCTTTAAAAGTATAAATGGAAGATTCTTTTAAGAGGGCACACAAAGATAAAAGTGCATGTTCAAACTAATAATGAGCATTAGTAAAATGTACACAGATTGCAGATGATGAGAAGTTTGGCAGCATATAACTGAACCAATTTTCAATAAGGAAAATTAAACAAATAAAGAAACAGCAGAAAAATGAGACGGTACACTTATGCAAGTCACCAGCAAACAAGTCTTTCAATGAGGGTGTTTGGGGAGGCTTATTTTTTGGCGAAACTAGCTGTTAAGGTACCTTTTTCATATCTATTTGTTTGGTAAAATACCAAATAAGTTAGCTCATAAGCCTCGTTTTTAAACGTTGGTACATCCCAGCTTTTGAAGAACAAGCTTTTAAGCTCATCTAAATAAGCTAGGTTTGACCAAACAAATTATTATTCTACCCAAACAATTTTTATGCAATTTTTATTATAAAAGTTAAAAGCCACCAAAAGCTAACATAGCTTAAAAGCTTGTAAAAATAAGCCTCCTCAAACACCCTTAATATGTAATTTTGACTAACAAAATCAGGCCTTATAATAAGGCTAGTCAATTGAAGGCTTAACCACAAAAATAGCAATATGTATTTAGATAACTTGCTTGCCAATGCTTCCTTGTTTACAAGTAGCAGCATTGACAACCATCAATAGCAATAGGACCACGCAACGAATAAAATAGGGTTGAGCTGCACCTTCTGACAGAATGTATGCTACATTGCAGTGCAGCTGATATAACTTATTTCAAGTTTTGACGGAAAATATATTATACTGAAATCGTGGAATTTACAAACTTATTACCATTCAGAACAATTGGTAATGTTAGTGCTGTCATTATTACTGGTAATGAAAACTATGAACAATCTATATATCATATGACCAAGCTTGCTAAGGTTAGAGAAAGGAAAAGTAGGGATTTGGATAATATTACGTGTTTAAAAGCGAAGATCAAAACGTTCTAGTAACCGATGGGGAAATAAAAGAAAGGTGGAGGAGTTACATTCATTAATTGTTTAATAATAACCAAACGAGTGAGCAAAATAGAGAATTTGACCATATAGTGAATGAATGGAACTATAGATATTGTTGAAAAATTAGAATTAGCAAAGTTACAGATGCTCTAAAGAAAATAAAAAGTGGAAGAGCCGTAGGACCGGACAGTATCCCTATTAAATTTTGGAGATGTCTTGGAGATATAGGCTTAGGATGGTTAACTAAATTATTTAATAAGATTATCGAGACGAAGAGAATGCCTGATGAGTAGAGGATTAGTACTTTGATACCAATATACAATAATAAAGAAGATATACAAAGTTGTTCAAATTATCGCGGCATAAAACCCATGAATCATACTATAAAACTTTGAGAGAGGGTAATTGAGCAAAGACTAAGAAAGGAAAGAAATATATCTGAAAATCAATTCTAAAAATCAATTTGATTTTATGTCCAGGAGGCCAACTATGGAACCTAAACATATTTTGATGATTGATGGGGAGATATAGAGAGAAAGAAAGGATCTATGGTTTTCATTACTCTAGAAAAAACTTATGATAGAGTGCCTAGAAAGGTAATGTGGTGGGTTTTAGAAAAGAAACATATATCTAGTTTATATATTGATGCGATTAAAAATATATATGACAGAGTAACAACTAGAGTACGAACTAATGAAGGAGAGACTTAAGTTGTTTTCTTTTACCATAGGTTTACACCAAGGGTCAACCTTAAGCCTTATCTTTTTGGTATTAGTTATGGACCAACTAATTAAGCACATTCAGGATGAAATTCCATGGTGCATGTTACTTGCAGATGATATAGTGTTAGTTGATAAAACTCGAAGAGGTATAATTTCTAACGTAGAAAGATGGAGACAAGCTTTGAATCTAAAGATTTTTGAATTAACAGAACAAAAACATAATATATGGAGTGCAATTTTAGTAAAATTAAGAAAAGAAAAGAGCTTATAGTGCATATTGATTGTCAAAAAATACCAAAAAGTAATTATTTTTACTATTTAGGATCAATCTTTAGGCATGATGGTGAAATAGAGGATGATGTTGTACATCGTCAAGTCGGGATGGTTGAATGGAGGAGTGTCTCGGGAGTCTTATGTGATCGTAAAATAGGACAAATTTTGAAAACAGGCCTCTTTGCAAAAATATTCCCAAAAAAAGACCCGTTTTGAAAATATTTGCAAAAAACGACCCAGTTTCAGCCCTGAGGCTGAAACTGGGTCGTTTTTTGTGAAAAATGTTCACAAACTTCACGGGAGTTAAACTCCCGTGAAGTTTTGTTATGAAAAAAACTTCACGGGAGTTCAACTCCCGTGAAGTTTGGGAATATTTTTTACAAAAAAATGATCCAGTTTCAACAAAGTATGTCTTTTTTTGAAAATAAAGTGAAAAACTAGGTCGTTTTTTGAAAATAAAGTGAAAACGGGTCTTTTTTTGAGAATATTTTTACAAAGGGCTCTGTTTTCAAAATTTGTCCTCGTAAAATATCAATGGAACTAAAAGAAAATTTTAATAGGATGATTACATGACCAACTGTGCTTTATGGGTCCAAGTATTGGGCGAAAATAAGTGTAGTAGAAATGAGAATGTTGTGATGGTCTTCTGGGTATACATCAAAAGATAGGATAAAAAATGAATGCACCCGTAGTAAATTAGAGGTTGCTCCGTTGAGGATAAAATGAGAGAGAATAGATTAAGATGGTTTGATCATGTATAACAGAAACCTCTTAGCGTACATGTTAGGAAAAGTGATAATATTATAGTTAATGGGGATAGGAGATCTAGAGATAAACACAAAATGACTTGATTGGAAGCAATTAGGAAGGATATAATTATTACCAACTTAACGGAGGAGGTGACCCATAACAGATCGAATGAAAGAATAGGATTCATGTACACGAGCCCAAACATTTAGGATAGAGACTTTGTTGTTGTTGTATAATGTTCATACTGCAAGATGTATTCCATAAGGCAGAAGGAACACAACACGTGATACTGTGCATTCAGTGAGATACCTGCAGCATGGGGAATTATATATTTTAATACGAGATTTTAATATATCTAATGTTTGAAGTTCGTTACAAGTGAACGTAAAGTTTTTCATCGTAGCCCCCGTCTCCCAGATTCATCTTCCAAAAAAACTGCTTGGGGATCAAGGTCAGAGTTCCTAGATTCAATGAAAGATGATAGATATGCTACATATCATTTCTATCGCATATGAACTTAATTCTCTGGTGAGGAATGTAATCTTCAAGAAACTGACGCAATTCCTCACTTCTGTCATAATAATAACTTAATATAATCACACAAGTACATCCTGTTAATTCGGTCAGTCAATGTCATCGTTAGCTTTTCTCATCGTTCATTCAACAAGTTGAGCATCTTAAAACAGAAGAAAATGAATAGCATTTCATCATGTTGCTAGGAATCATATATACAAGTACCAGTTATTGGGAGGGGCAATCAAAACTCACAATAGGGGTTTCTTTCATACATTCTGCAGTCACATATCCCAGGGCACATAATGCTCCATGATGATTTTCAAATCTGCAGCATCAATATAGCAAGTCAATCTAAGAATGGGACTATTAACTAAGAATTCAAATCCCTGCATAGACATTTTTCAGCTACCTTAGTGTTTGTTTTCCACCAACAGAAGAAGCAATATCAGAGACAAGACTAGAGGCTGCTGAATTGGAAATTGCAGAACATGCTATTCCCAACAAGCGTGATGCAGATTCACGAGTATCAGAGTCAATATGCCCAAGTAAAACTTTTAACCATGATATACGCTCTGCAAAGCGTGCAGCTATCATCTGCTGAAAAAAGAGAGAAACATTAAAATCCAAGTGCAAAAAGGGAAATGTCATAGAATTCCAGCACAAAGAAGAACAACGACCTTTGGAAAACGAAAACCAATGTCAACTAAAGCCTTGGATGCAGTGGCATGCAACTCAGTAGATCCTTCAATTGCCATCGCATGTTCCAGTAATAAGCACATGTTTACCAGTGGAGAGTCATATTCACTAAATCCAGCTTCAGAACTGCATAGCCTAGAATCTGCCTCAAAGCACTTCATTAAAAATCTAACCATAGCAACATATGTTTTTGATGAGAAAATAAGTTCCTTTTCCATGATTTCAGATGAATATAAAACTTTTGGCTGCTGGTGACAAATGTAATCCAGCATGTTTCTCAAATCAGGGTATTTAAGATCAGAATTAGATCCAGACTTCTGTCCTTGATTTTTCAGCAGATAAAGCCCTTCAAGAGCCATTTCCCTGTAAAGGATGAAACAAAATCAGAAACAACAAAACTACAAGATGGATTGAATAATTTATTATTTAACAAATTGAAACCCAAAGTTGCAGTAAGAACTTTTATCTTCTTTCAGTAATAAAGTAAAAGCACAAAGCTGAAGAAAGACAAGCTAACAGAATGTGGAAAGATTCAACAAGAAATTTTCATCAAAGGGGAAAAAAGAAGAAGAAATAAAATAAACATCAAAACAATAAAATCCACACTAAGTAGTAACAGGTGTATGCTTCGAAAATAAAATCAAAAAAGTCAACAGAAAACCTAGTGACCATTCAACAGGGTGCAGACTTTCGTTTTATGTAAGAAAGTTAACGAGTACCAATGCACAAAATAAAAAGAAATGGCCATCATTACATCCATGCATTAACAAAGTGAGATTATGAATAAAGGAAGCCCATCATGATGAAAGCCAGTAAACAATGAATTTTGAATGAAACTTATTGCTAAATGCTCAGCCTTTGAATATTTCCTCAGTTAACATAAACCGGAAAAGGCACAAACACAGCACAATTCCCGGACATAGATCCCTTCTGGTTTGAGAGTTTCTCGAGAAGGAGAAAGATACTCGGAAGATGACTTGATGCAGCACAATGTCAAGGTAATATGCAAAAATCAAAAGTTTGATTTCCTCTGAGTGCTTCCATAACAAAACAATTTTCAAAATAAATTATACCTGGGTAATTTCTTTCTGATGAACATATAAAATCGTGGAATACAACTGAACAGCATCCACTAACTAGAGGAGAACTAAGATAATAATAAATCTTAAACCAAAGTAACGGTCATCAACTGGCTACCCCACCTCCAAAAGCATCACAAGCCACCATTGCCTTTTTAGACTATGTCCCTTACTAAACGTCAAGTAAACTAAGTTGCACCGTAGTTGTCAAGCCATCAAAGGAAACTTATATTAACGTTATCCCATATTACGTAATATATCACATTGTTTTATCCCAAAAATGCAAATCATAAAACTTCAGGTAAGAGTATTAAAATGTTTAAGACCTTTTCCATGCCTTTTGTCCACAACCAGAACGAAATCAATTAGATAACCTAAAATGAGAATGTTTCCTAGCATGCAAAGAACATCAGTCAGCTATGTTAATGTACAACTGATTCTAGATGGTTCTTTAGCTTTTAAATACACAACAGTCATATTAAAAACAATTAAAAACATTATCAAATATTTGACATCATTCCTTCAAAGAGTCTTTGGAAAGCAAGAGGCACTAAGTTTTGGATTGGGGGTGAACAAGGGAGAAGGGAAGGTAGGGGAGACATTCACCTCGTTTGAATAGCTTAAAGAGTTCCCCCTAATTCACCTTAGTTCACCTTCAACAGCACAAAAATTGTTCTCCCCCAAATTGGGGTATAACGGAGGAGAAGGGAACTCCCTTAACTTCCGTTCTCTCCTCTCCTCTATTTTCCTCCCATGAAGTCCAAACACACCCTAAGAGGGTAGAGGAAGAAACCTATGGTCTTTAGGATCAATATTCCACGCTTCACTAAAAAACAAACAAAATTTTTATGGAGAATTACACGACAGAGGATAAAAACCATGCTTCTTCGCTCCCTTATAATCAATCTTATAACTACTAGAAAATTAACTTTCCAATTCCAATACCAGAAAGCAGCTAATTATCATGCCCTATAGGATTAACAGTTTAGGTAGAAACATGATGGATTAAAGCTTACGATAAAACTCACGTAAATGGGACACTTGGTCAAATTACCTAACTTTTCTATTAATGAACCACCCTGCTTAGAGCATATGCAACCAAACATTTCTGAAAATTTTAAACATTGATAGTCACATTGTTCAAAACCCGAAAACAAACAAAAATGCACACACAGAAAACATTTAGGAGTCATGAAAAAGTGGTTTGTCCACCATAAAAGTAATAGCTCAGTTGGAGCACGTGATAATTAACATATTATTTTAACATAAAAGAAAATTAGCACACAAAAAAATAAGCAATGTAGAATATCTGTGTGACCTTATGTCCAGCTTTGTGTCTGCAGCTCCAAGCATGCAAATGTACCGGCTTGGACAATGTTGCAAATCAAACAAAGAACTTGCCCACCTCACAGCACAGAATCGCACCTCACTTTGTTCCTATTCATGAAAATACTTTTTAAGTCTTATGATGGACAATTTATTGAACTAAATAGGGTTGTTTATGAGCATAATCGATTTAAACAAGCTGTAAATAAAAACAATTGATGTAAATAAGACAGATTTTTTCGCAGAAAACAAAATAGAATGAACAGAATCAACCAATGCTAAATAAGCCTATAGAATTAAAGCATGAAGCCGCATAAACGTGAGCGTAAGTGCATAGACATGTGTATACGCACAAAGCCACAGAAATAATCCAATCAAATTAGAACATAAGCCAACAAAGCAAAAATGCAAGTGTCAGTGTGCACATAATCGTATGAATGCTATGAAAAATCATACATACTACACTTAGAAGGCGTATGAAGGTAAAAGATAGTCCGAGTAATGTGATCAATACAAGTTTTTTTTTGGGCCAAAATAGCGTCAATTATTGTACCATAACAATGGTAAAGAAATTTGAAATAGGGGCAAGAAAACAAATACATATAAGGCAGTTGAATAAATTGAAGACAATATTATTGATGAGTTGGTAATTTATGGTGGTTTAGGAATGCACACAAAACCGTAAGTAGTAATGTTCTTAAATGCATCAGGTGAAGCAATAGCATGTTGTATAACTATACTGCAGATGTAGAACCTATAAAACTTGATTGATCGACATTTATCAGAGATGCCAAAGGATTTTCCATCAGAGGCCTAGAACAAACGACTCGTTTCCAAAGGATTTTCCATCAGAGGCCTAGAACAAACGACTCGTTTCACTATCACTGACTACCTTCACTAAATATGTACAGTGAGAGAAAATATAGAGAAACAAAGAACTTGAAAATGACAAATTATGCAATCTACTGTAAAGATGCCAGTTGAAAAGAACAAATAATCTGGGCCGAAACAAACTTTTAACCCTTACCACTTGAGAATTTTCCAGCAGAAGTGGTTCCAGATCATTTAAGATAGTCAATGAAGAATCCTACCAATAAGATAAGAAAGATGAATGAAGCATATTCATATTCGAACCAAGAAAAATGTGCAAAACTTTAGAGCAGTGAGAGCCTGACCATAATGACTGATATAAGTGATACAAGTAAACCATGCAAGGAGAATAACCAAAACGCAAGTAACAACTGACGATCAAATGCTTAATTTAAGAGTCAAAACTAACAGGTTATAAGGGGCTGTTCGGTTCATTTCCATAAAATTATGGAAATGAATTCCCTCACAAAAAACCAAATCCAAAATTTTTTTAGGATATCTAAGGAATCCAAAACTTGTGTTTGATATGGAATGATAAAGTAAAGAATAGGAAAACAAAACTCATGTTTGTTTCATTTCCAAAGAATAAGAAAATGAGTGAGAAGAAATGCTGAGCTGGACACAATTGTCAGCTTTCTTAGCCCATTTCCAAGCCAAAATAAAGGATTTGGGGCTGTCCAAAAAAAACGTATTGTTTTCTCCCTTTTTAAGAAACCTTTTCTTAAAAAATTTTGAAACAAACACAACTTTTGGAATCTTATAATAGCCCAAAACCTACTTTTTGTTCCAAAAATGATGGTTTCCTAAAATTTTGGCCCAACCAAACAGCCCCTAATACTTCATATGAACTTTGTGGCATATATCAAAGCTTTGAAATATTATTTCAATATATAAATGAACAGAGAATATGTTGCAAAAAAGAACTTCAAACTTATAGGTTATACCACTATTTTATAACAAATATTACTGTACATGATGAGATGATGTATTCACCAACTTTGTTAATATGAGTGCACTGTACACTACTTAGAGTTAGCTAATAGGATCAATTATCAGGTCATGATACACTTAGAAGCAACATTAGGTCATTTCAGTACTTATGAATGTATTATTTGTCCGATGTGGACAGAGATAATAAAGAGAAACCATACACATACATTGGGAGACTCCCAAAACTTATGATAACAGAAACATCATCTTTTCAAATTAGAAAAAAGAACACTTTAATTGAAAAATGGTCAATATTAAATATTCAATAGGAAAACTCTGACTTTTGGCAGACCTTTCAAATGTTGCATACGTCTAATAAGAAAAGGCTAAAATACTTGTAACATATACAGCAAAGCAGATCATTTTGTCATCACTTTTCTTCTTTTACACATCATGTTGCTAGTTTTGAGAATCAAGATTGTGAACACAGTAAATTGGCAAGCATTAAGAGAATAAGAGGGCAAGCATTAAGAGAATAAGAGGGCAGAATCAGATATGTAATGCTGCCTCATATCTAAGAATTAGGAGGTAGAGAAACAATATGATAAGGGCCTGTTTGTTTGGCCAAAAAATGTAGAAAAGACCACCAAAAGAAAACTCACATGAAAAAATTGTCAGTTTTCTTTAGATTCGGATGTTTGGATGGTTAAAATAGAAAAAGGAAAGAGAGGGAAAAGGGGGTTGCCAGCTCACTTTGGGGGAATGTTGTTTTCCTTCCTAAAAACCCTGAAATTTGCCGATTTGGGAGAAAAGGGAGGCATCGGTTCCATTCCACAAAAATCTCTTGTTTTCACCCTAGGTTTACAATCACCGCCCCTTCTCCCTCTCATTTCACCTTCTCCCGCCTTCTGTTGTCCGACGACGATCTCCTTCTCCCGCCTTCCGCTAGCCTACAACGCCGTTGTTTCTCCCGTGGATTGTAGACGCTTGATCTCTACGGACCAGCTAATTTCTCGACCCGTTGCTATGCTATCTACTAATTTTCTTCATAAACGTGGCCATTCTTGTATATAATCTTCAAAATATTAGAAAATCTCTCTGCCCTAATTTTGATTGATTGGGTATACGACGGTTTTTTTCCCTGATTCGAGTGGGATGATGAATTTAACATAAAAAATCTTGATAAGTTTTATCAAGAATTGCATGAGAATGAATCACAAGCTAGGTTGTTTATGGGGAGGCCAACTATTATGCAAAATTTTGGCATATTTTTGTGAAACTAGCTAGTTATATCAATGCGCGTGTAATTATTTTTGTATGTAAATGAGCTAGATGATTGCTCATCCTTGTGCCTAACTATGGTAGATGTATTAAACTTACATTTGTGCAAAACTAATGCTACTATCTCTATCTTTATGCATCTCAGTCGTGGCTTTACATGTTATATTGAATGTTAGATTACTAATGCAAACTTGTTTGACTTGTTTACAAGTGGGGTAAGGTGAATGATTTCACCTCGATGAATTTAGAGTAACCTACATATTTCTAGTTTGATGGAATTAGAGTTAAAGAGGTATGCATATTTTGTGTTATGATGATGAGCTATTCTTAAGATATAACCAAAGTGTATATCAACAATATATTAACAAGACAATATATTGCAGCCAACATTGTTATTATAAACTTCATGGCGAGACAGATAATGAAGAAAATGGCCTTTTCTGAGCACATTTTCTATAATTTCTTTTGAGCTTTGGTTTGATTTCCATCTTTGGTTGTTCTATAATGGTTTCTCAATATTGGTTTCAACCTTGCTCTCGGTCTTGATTTCAGCCTCTTAGGATGTTCTGAGCACAGTTGTGTGCTTGCCTTATTCATTTCCAGCAAATGTCTGTTTTCAGTTGTGTGTTTTCCAGTTGTTGCTTGGCCTTTGGTTTCAGTTGTGTGCTTGCCAATGGTTTCAGTTGTGTGCTTTCTTTTGGTTTCAGTTTTGTTCCAACGTGAATGTATTTCCAGGATACGTTTGGTTGATTATTGTGTTGGTGCATACTTGGTTTCAGCTAATGCTATATTCATTAAAGTGCCAGCTAAATGACCAGCCCAGTGTTTTCAATGCGCGAGGCGCAATGCGGGGCGCAAAGTCAGTTTACGTGTACATGCGCAAGGCGCAATGCGATGCGCGCGCCCGAGCGAAGTGAGGCGCACTCCAAATAATATATTGCATCACTAATAACTATATTGCTAAATTTTATTTTCCTCTTTACAGGTTACAAATGGTGAATCAAGTTTCAAGTTTTAAGTCAACTAGTAGCACTGCACCTAGCTCAAATAACAAGATTCAATACTCGCAATCTCGCACAAGAAATCAGATAGGAGCACATTTTCAACAATTATTACTGATATGTATTAATAAGAAGCAAATAGTAGCAATTTCATAACTTCATAACTTTGCAGTTTGCACATTTCAACAATCATATGCTCATTTAAAATAAGATAAATCTCTCCTTATTAATCATTAGCCTATTATTAATCAAGTGATCAAACATCAACTAATCATTAGCCTTATTAATCATTAGCCTTATGATCAAACATCAGCTAATATAGTTAACTTTTTACTGTTAATTTAACTACAATAAAATAGTTACAGTGATTCATATAACAAATTAACATTGTTAAAAAATATTATGCTACAATAAAAAAAGAAAAAAACAAGCAAGGCTCTAGCTTGGCGTTGAGGATGAATTAATTTTTTACTATTAATATTAACTACAAGTATTTTTTATTGATACAATAGCTACAGTAAAAAGAACAAAAATGACCGAATCCCACTTAATTTACCTACAGGAAAACAAAGACAGGGAGCAAAAAGCAAAGAAAAAACAAAGAAGCTACAGTAAAAAGAAAAAAATGACCGGATCCCACTTAATTTACATACAGGCAAACGAAGACGGGAACAAAAAGCAAAGAAAAAGCAAAAGAACAAGTGAATCGACCGAAAAAACAAAGAAAAAAACGAAAGCTGGAAACGAAGGAGGAGAAAAAAAAAGAAAGCTGAAAATAGAAAAAACTAAAAAACGAAATACTAACCTTGCGCTGTCGATCTTCGTCTTCGTGGCCGCCCGTCTTCGTAGATGCAGACAAAGATCGGAGGAGAGGTAAGTGGATCTCAGAACCCTAGAGCTCGATTTAGTTCTCTCTGTTTTCATTCCCCCTTTTTGATTTCGGATTTACTTTTGGGAAGCGGGTTTGTACCCGAACCCAATTGATTGCGGTTCTGGAACTAGGGCGATCGCCCTGCGCTTGGCGTCAGGCGCTGCGGGGCGCTCCCCAGGCGCGCGCCCGACGCAAGCGTAGCGCCCCGCACCTGATGCGGGGCGCTATGCTATTGCGCCGAAGCGCCTCGCGCCCGAGGCGCGCGCCCCAAATCGCCCTTAACAACACTGGACCAGCCAATGTCTCTGTTCTTCTGTTTGGTTGCTTATTGTGTTAGTTATGATGGTGGTTTCAACCAGTGTTTGGTTATATACATGTGTGCTTGCCAGTTGTTGCTTGGCCTTTGGTTTCAGTTGTGTGCTTGGCCCTTGGAGCTCAGTTGTGTTGTGTTGGTAAGCAGTCTGAATTTGCAGCATCAGGTTTCTTCAAATCTTGTTCATTGAGCATTTTGGTTTTTCATTACATAAATTGTATTCAACTTTGGTTTGATTTCATTCTTGGATTGTTCAATAATGGTTTCAATTGTGTGCTTGGCCTTTGGTGCTTCATGCTAATTTTGGGTAGTTTATACTCAGTTCTCAGCTTTATAGTTTCAACAAGATTGCACTTAAAATGCTCCATTGTCTCCTCCATTAACAAATACGAATGCTATTAACATTTCCTATAATGACAAAAAAACTTTTGGTTTCAGTTATGAATTTCCAGCAAACAATTGGTTTCATCTAATTTGTTTTTAATTGGTTGAAATGGTTGTTATGTCATTGGTAATGCGATATTATGCTATGATGATGGCCGGATATATAATGTATGCAACCAAAGTTTATATTAGTAATCAATTGGCGAGGCAATAAATGCAGCCAACATTGCTATTATAAACTTCATGGCAATGCAGATAATGAAGAAAAGGGCTTTTTCTGAGCACATTTTCTATAAATTGTGTTAATCTTTGGTTTGATTTCAATCTTGGGTTGTTCGAGTCTTTGTTTCTCTCGAGTGGGTTTCAGCCTTGGTTTAGTCTTGGATATTTTCAGACTTGGTTTAGCCAAAGTTGGTTTAGTTTCAATCGAGTTGGTTTCAGACGAGTTGTGTGCTTGCCTTCTGAATTTACAGGCAATGTTGGTTTGCTTTCAATCGAGTTGGCCAAGTCGAGTTGTGTGCTTGCCTTCTGAATTTGCAGTCAATTAAGTGCGTTACATTATATTTTGTGTGCCTCAATTTGTGCTGTTAATATTTTGTCTTATGTGGGTGGTAATCACACCATGGTGACCACAATCAAGTTTTCTTGATTTTTTAGTTTAAAACAAACACTAGAAAATGAGGGAATCTATTCACACATCAATTGTTTTATTGTTTTTCAAGTTGAACCAAACTAAGAAAAGTGGTGGAAAGTACTTTCAACCCATATTTTTTAGCGAAACAAACACAAGAAACACTTTCCATGAAAGTGAAGAAAACACAATAAAGTGAAGAAAAATCGTTTTTGGAAAATAAAGGAAACGAACCAAACAGCCCCTAAGGGTATACATGCTATAATACATGCACTATAAAGCATATAAAGCCCATGTACCATCATAAAGGTGATCTCAGTTTGGAAATGGGAGTATGTATGAGTAGGAAACTATTTCTTGGGACAGACAGAATAACTAAATTACAAGTCAGAAAGATAACTCCTCTACCCTTTGAAATATTATAACATAGATGCTGCAATTAATTTGAACAAAGCTATGAAAGTATGGTAGTAAACTAATTTCAGAGACCTATATCTTTCCTACTACAGAGAAACTGTAAGTGCAGAATCTTGGGGTTACCATACACGTAATCGAATATAAGGAGAATTCAACTACAAGATAGATTTCATCATTTATTACCAGAACCACAAGACAAAGCATACAACATCCAACAGTAAGAACTCTTTATTTTGGACAGATTACCTTGTAAGCCATCACAAGTGAATTGAGTGCTTCCTGAATAGCGAGACGAAGAGATTGATCTTCTGATTTCAAAGCCGCGAAAAGCCGAACAGCCATGTCAGTTTTTTCTCTGGCGAAGACGTAGATGAAAGGAACTAAAAATGATCAGTATCTAACAAAGGACCAGTTAGTCATGTGCAAGTAACAATGAAACGAGCTTGAATTCATACCTGAAAAGATGAGGCATGCGAGATGCAAGCAGCCCGATTGCTTGGAATGCAAATGTTTTAGTATCACGAGCAGTAGACTCTAAAAAATAGAACAAAATTATAACCTAAATGTGCCATCGAGCAGACAAATGCACTACTTATGCTTTGCAGAACCTTAAAAAGGACTACAGAAGGGGCAAAAACAAAAACAAAAGTCCAGGAGGAACCTGTTTCTCTTGAGGAACCATCAAGATCTTTTAGTATAGCACTTAAGATGACAGGACCCATAAGCTTCAGTTGATCAATTGCCGCCTGCATCAAAACAGAAGTGTCATGACCTAATAACATCATAACATTTTAGAAACTTCTTCCAAGAATTTCTGAAACTAAAATGCCTCTTGGAAACAAATATAACGATGAAAAACATTCTTTTGAACAAAAAATAACAGTAAAATTGTGGAAGATGTTATGGTTAATGTCAATGATTCAACGATTAGAGAGTTCAAAAAATACCATAATTTCTAACTTCCCATTTCAACTGTGATCCCTATTTGAAGAGTCTATTTCAAGCAATTTTTTTCCTCTATTGTAAGATAGAGATTATAAACAATGGTGCTGAATGTTTGATGACACTGTCCATGACTGATTCAGAATAGTTAAGGGTCTAGAAAATGGTACTTAAGGAATTCTACGCTGCTAAAATATGAACAAAATACAAAGCTGAATAGGACGCAACCATGTATTAACTCAGGTATACCAAATAAGGAAAGAAATTTTAAAGCATTTACTAAGCTTCACTCATGTAGTTAATGGAAGTAGCTAAATTTGAACACTGCTTGTTAGGTTACTATCTACGAAAAACACATTTACATCTGAAGAAATTTAAACAGAAATGATAAAGTACAAGGAGGCAAAGTAATAGACAGCAGTTTACAAGAGATCATACTAACGATCAACAGTTAACATAGGTAAGGCTAAGGTTAATGCTTTTTGGAATAAAAAGCAAAATTAACAATTTGAATTTGTGCTCAAATTTGCCTCGAACATCAAATTAATGTTAAAATAAGAATCCAAGTTGTTACTTTTGGAATAAAATAAATTAACAATTTGAATTTGTGTTCGAATTCGCCTCGAACAAAATTAACTTGAATTTGAATTTGTGTTCAAATTCGCCTCGAACATAAAGGATTCAAAAGGCAACTGTCTCATTCAAAAATAAATCAACAGAACATTATTAAACAATATTAAGAAGAAGAAAAAGAAAATATCTACTGTGTCACAAGAAAAGCTTCACAATAAAAAACAAAATTAACAAAATGATAAAATAAGAATCCAAGCCACACATTACAAACTACTAAAAGATGCAGAAGGAAAATACCTACATGTTTAAATACCCATACAGTGAACTCCATTCCCATTTGCTTCAGCCTTGAGGTAGTTCCACCACCTGCAATAAGCCGAACGTCGGTGGAATAAGAAAAGTCACATAATTCAATTACAATATATACTTTGAGATAAATCTTACAGCTAACTAAAAAACAAAATAGGATAACATAACCAAACAAGATTTAGGACCACTAGGGGTGAAAATGAAGGGATCGAATCGAATACCACGGTATTAGAAATCAAATTCCGTAATATATGCTCAATTTGAATTTGTGTTCGAATTCGCCTCGGACATCAAATTAATGTTTGAATTTGATTTGTTATAATAGCAATAAATTCCATATTCATTCGTGAATACTCGATCATCTTGGCTGGTAGATCACTACGTACTTAACTAGATGGTCTTGGGTTCGAATGGGCCTTTTGGCATCATTAACACTTAAATGTATTATGTTTTTACTTCATAGTTTAATTATCTAGTGGGCATTTGGGCATCATTTAACACCTAAATGTATTATTGTTTACTTTAGTGTAAATATCTAGCAGAGAAATAAAAGTCAACCCTCTTAATCAATAGCATTATTGACAAAACAATTAAAAATAAATAGATAAAAAATACAGAACTTTGTATAAAATTTGTAATAAAAGTTTGGATGCGTAATATTTACAATAAATTTAATTAATAGGACCAAAATGTAAAAAGTTATCAAGTAGTTAATAGTCAACTGAATCGAGTATACATTTGATTAAATTCTATTCATTTATACGCCGAATACTAAAATTTATTCGTTTAGTATTAAATAAACTACTGAATTGAATATGACCAAATATATGGACCAGTGTTTTCAAAGGCATGCTCATCACTGTGCCTCATCCGCCATGTGATGCACAGGGCAATGGGGAAGCGCCCGCATCTAATGCAGCAGCGTCTCTTGTGCCTCATAAGTGACAGTGCTTCGAGTAGGGCGCATACTAGGCATAGCCACATATAGAATTGTTCTTTAACATTTCAACCGGGTCTTTATACCTGATGAATCATACCCAAAAAGCAAAATAAAACCGCTAAGCCTTTGACCTTTCTAGTAGCCTAATTGAGGACCACGTGTTCGCTTCAATATTAGTCTTGATTTGACTTTTGATTTGAAAATTTATGAACTTTGCTTTATGTTGGATGTGTTAGCATAAGAAATTAAGACCTTATTTTGTGATTTCATAGTAGACGTTGTTTATCTTGACATATTTTTATGTGAAGATATATAACAATGCTCTTTTGTGCTTGATAACCATCTTGAAAATTATGTTTATAGTTTGTGTCTCGTTTCACACGGGCGTGCGCATCGCATTGCGCCTTACACATGTACGCGTAAAGAGACTTCGCATCCTGCATTGCGCCTTGCGCATTGATAACACTGATATCGACGAATATTAACATAATTGCTTTTATTATGAACTGCTAAAATGAGAAAATATTAGATATTGATGGTCAAGAAATATCCAAACAGTAATCAATTTTCCTATTTACGATCAATCATTCATCAAGATTGTGACATTGAAGATAATTTGGTTCATCGAATCATATCGAGATGGTTACACTGAAGTACTTCTGGAGTCCTATATGATCAAAGAATACAAGACCAACAATGCTTATAGCTCAGAATGTTGTGAAATTCTAAAACATGTGCAGAAAATGAATGTAGCTACATTGACAATGTTATGGTGGACTTGTATATATATACTACGAGAAAGAATAAAAAATGACAACATTAATAGGAGGTTTGAAGTTTCTATTGAGGCTAAACACACACACACACTATAAGGATATGATAGTGCCAATGGTAAACTTAACGACAGAGGAAATAGCCCTAAACAGAACTAAATGGTAGAGTAGGATTCATGTAGATGGCACCAAAAACTTGAAATAATGGCTTCGTTGTTGTTATTGGTAAATAGAATATGGAATATCATCATAAATCTTTTATTTGTTGATTTCTTTTTTAGTTATTTACATATCTTTTGAAGGTTGGTACAATGGTAAAAGTTATCATCATGTGATCTAGAAGTTGCAAGTTCGAATTGTGGAAATAACGTCTTGTGAAAAGTTCAAGGTGATGCAAGAGAACCTTTCTGACGCATAGTGCGAGCTTTGTGTATCGGGCTATTCACCCACTTTATTAGAGATTCATCTATCAGCAAGAAGATACGAACTTCTGCATCAAATCTGAAGATAGGTTTCATTATAAGTTTATAACTACAAAGAAGCATTGGCTTATAAGTTAATTTTCGTGTGCTGTAAAGTTTGTTTCATTATGACTCAGGCTCTAGCATAAAAAGTGTGAAAATAGAGTGATGAATCTATTAATTGTATTATATATAACAATGCAATTACAATAGCATATTTCGCTTTCCGTGCTAGTTAACAATTTAGAGAATATATTAGTTAACACCCAGCTTTAAGGTTTTAAAAAGGAAAATAGTCCATCGCTAGGATACACTCAGCTACATAATCAGCCAACTCATTTCTTTTAAAATCGCTATTTTAATTCCAGTTAGTAGGACGTTAACGTAAAATGTAGTCATTGTGTGACGTAAATCAGCAATAAAGCATAGAGAATGAAAGAAAATAATAGCTTACCATAAATGCAACCAAAGATGCACTGCAAAGTCAAAGGAAAAGAGTTGGCTGCAGCAATTGAATGGCAGAAAACAGACATAAGACGAGCTCTCAATGCAGGATTTGCAGGAGTAACTCTGGATTCTTCAACTATGTTTTCAACTCCAACAGTTCCTAAATTGATAAAATACATGACAGATTAGCTAATCAAAAACAATTGCATTCATTGTACTAGTTATATGCATGCTCCAGTTTTCAATCAAATGTGAGTTTGGTCTAGAAGAATTATCACAGGTTGTCATTGTGTAATGGTCTACTTTAGAGAAATGAATAACCAAGAAATATTTCAAGTTTAAATAGATGTAATGTAACTTTTGGTGGTCGTCACAATTTTGTTTCGAATAATTTTGAGGCAACTTAATGTATTCATAGAAAATATTTGTTGTTGGCCACTTTGATGTGGACAGATGCACTTATGAAAAATTAAAAGATTATCCTCATTTAATTTAGTAAACAGGTTGATTATCAAGATGGAAACCATGTTAACTTAATTGAGCTCAATTTTAAGTGGGTTTTGGGTTTGACAAGACAAGCCCTTTTCATTCTAGTAAATACTAAATACGTTGTCTTAACACAAAATTCAATCACACAATAATATCCTGTGCTCCCTATCTAACACAAGCCCTAGTTAATATCTAAGAAAATTTTGGCAGAGGATGAAAGATGACGGAGTGATTGGCACACCAGATGAGTCCATCTCCTAGCACATATTCTCATATGCCCTTCCTGTTGTCTCCTGTTCATTGGTTCTTGGGTTTTAAGCATCATTCTGGTTTTCTCGTTTACTTCTGACTTTTAAAGCCTTTGGCAAAGTCTCAAAGTTCAGATCACAAGTCCAAACCATTGCAAAATAAGATTACTAAACAACTTTATATACAGCCAATTTCAATCAATTCTTATCAAAATAAGGTTGTTCCGGTAACATGGCATGTTTCAGCCAGTTTCAGTTTAAAATGAACCAGAAACAAATCACGTGTAACCCGCTAGAATCACCCAAGTCTGAGCACAAACCCTAGTTTGGATCACCGAGATATTTTTGATAAGATGTGTGATATGTCCCAGTATTAGTAGGTATAGGATGAAACATAGGGTAATATGATATCATTTTGCTATAAAAAATTACAATCATCTCCTCAGGCATATCATATCAACAAGAGGAATTTTTTAGTGGAGAAATTTAGGAAACCATACTAGAATTTGCATTGGGCACAAATGACATTTGATTAATATTGTTTAAAAGGTGATGAAGGTTAGATGCGGCTATGAGTCTATGACCATGAAGCATTGCAAGAAAAACTGTTTGGTATTGATCTTCATATATGTTTCTGTAGTTTAGAGAGAAAAAGAATAATCTCTTTTGTATTTTGAATAATCGGAATACAATGTATATTTATAATACAGAGCCTAACTAATTCTACTAAACAAATCTCTAGATTACAGTAAAGCCTAACTAATTCTAGTAAACAGATCTAAACAAATTTAATTCTGTACATAAGCTTCCTAGAAAATAGGAACTAACTACCTAATATTATTCGACACCCCCCCTCAAGTTGGTTTGTAAATATCGAGCAAACCCAACTTGCTAACAAGTGACTCAAAAGTAGGCTTGAAGAGCCCCTTAGTTAGAACATCTGCTGTTTGTTCCGTTGTTGGAAGAAACGGTATGCAAACTGCACCACTCTCAATCTTCTCTTTGATGAAGTGTCTGTCGATCTCCACATGTTTGGTTCGGTCATGCTGTACGGGATTGTTTGCTATGCTTATTGCAGCCTTGTTGTCACAGTACAACTTCATAGGACCGTCCATAGGTAGTTTAAGTTCTTCCAAGATCCTTTTCAACCAAATCAGTTCACAAATCCCACTTGCCATGGCTCTAAATTCGGCTTCTGCACTACTTCTTGCAACAACGTTCTGTTTTTTACTCCGCCATGTAACTAAATTACCCCAAACATATGTGCAATATCCTGTTGTGGACCTTCTGTCAGTAACTGAACCAGCCCAGTCAGCGTCGGTGTAGGCCTCAATTCCCCTGTGCTCCTTTCTTTCAAAGAACAATCCTTTTCCTGGAGTACCTTTAAGATACCTAAGAATTCTGTATGATGCTTCAAGGTGTTCTTTCTTTGGTGAGTGCATAAATTGACTAACCAAACTTACCGCAAATGCAATATCTGGACGAGTATGAGACAAGTAGATGAGCTTTCCAACTAATCTTTGATACCTGCCTATATCCACTGGAATACCCAAACTGCTATCACCCAATTTGAGGTTAGGATCAACTGGAGTATCTACTGGTTTGCATCCTGACATTCCTGAATCCTTCAAGAGATCCAGAATATACTTCTGTTGACTCACAATCAATCCCTTCTTTGATCTTGCTACTTCCATGCCCAAAAAATACTTAAGGGCTCCAAGATCCTTAATTTCAAATTCCTTGGTGAGATTCTTCTTCAATTTGTCAATTTCTTCATAGTCATCACCTGTTAAAATTATGTCATCAACATAAACTATTAGTATCACAATCTTCTCCCTGTCTGTTCTCTTAAAAAACATGGTGTGATCGGATTGCCCTTGTAAGTAGCCTTGTTTTTTAACAGACCCTGCAAATTTGTCAAACCAAGCCCTTGGTGACTGTTTAAGTCCATATAAGGATTTTTTTAGCTTACAAACCTTAGTTCCAAACCGTACTTCAAAACCCGGTGGTGGTACCATATAAACTTCTTCCTCCAAGTCTCCATTGAGGAAAGCATTCTTGACATCTAGTTGTTGAAGAGGCCAATTGAGGTTGACAGCAACACAACAAAACCCGAACTGTATTTAACTTGGCTACTGGAGCGAATGTCTCCATATAGTCAATTCCATAGGTTTGAGTGAAACCCTTTGCAACCAGTCTTGCCTTATACCTCTCAAGAGATCCATCTGAGTGATATTTCCTGACTGTTTACCTTTTTCAGAAAGGATAGAATTTTCAATATTCACAATATCTTTAATTTTTGAAGTATCAGTTTCTGACTCAGTAATAACATTTTGATTTTCCTCATTTAAATTTGAAGTTGGCTCAGGATTTTGTGAATTTAAATTCAAATCTGTTTTAGCTAAAGTATTAGTTAATAAATCCGGATTTTGTTGATTATTTAGATTTGAAGTCAAATCTTTTTCAACCACTTTTTCAACCAACAAATCCGAATCTTTTTGAACCACATTTTCAGCTAACAAATCCGGACTTATAAGATTTGATTCATTTGAAAAATTATCAGAATTATCTTCCAAAGAATCCGGACTACTCAAAAAATCAAGGTCTGAAATAGTCACCGAATCTTCTTTCCTAGTATTCATATTTGAAATCTCCCCTTGAAGATGAGGGACAAAAAACAATTTGTTTTCAAAAAATGAAACATCCATAGTGACAAAATATTTTTTAAGTGAAGGAATAAAACATTTGAACCCCTTTTGTGAAGTTGAAAAACCCACGAAAAATCCTTTATGTGCCCGAGTATCCAGTTTACTTCTTTGTTTATCCGAATTGTGCACAAAGACTGTGCAACCAAAAATTTTTAATGGTAGATTTGAAATTAGTTTGGAACTCGGATTTGACTCTTGAAAAATCTGGATAGGAGTTTTGAATTTTAAAATTCTTGAAGGCATTCGATTTATCAAGAAAACAGCATGTAAAAGAGCATCTCCCCAAAATTGTTTTGGAACATTAGCAGTAAACAGTAAAGCACGTGTAATTTCTAAGATGTGTTTATTTTTTCGCTCAGCAACACCATTTTGCTGAGGTGTATCAAAACACGAGCTTTGCTGTATAATTCCTTTTTCCAAGAAAAATTGGCCTAAAATTTTTGTGAAATACTCTCTTCCATTGTCACTTCTTAAAATTTTTATTTTTCCATTAAATTGTGTTTCCACCATAGCGAAAAAATTTTTGAAAATTTCTCCAACTTCAGATTTTTCCTTCATTAAATAAACCCAGCTTACTCGAGAATGATCATCAATAAAGGACACAAACCAACGTTTTCCAGAATGGGTAGGAATCCTATAAGGACCCCAAATGTCACTATGAATTAATTGAAATGGTTTTGAAGGTTGATATGGACGTGAGGGAAAAGAAGAACGATGTTGTTTTGCCATAACACAAATTTCACAACTAAATGAGGAAAGATCTTTATTCAGAAACAAATTTGGAAACAAACATTTAAGATACTGAAAACTTGGATGTCCTAACCTATAATGCCATAGCATGACATCATTGTTACTGAAATTTGAAACATAACATGAATTTTTAACAATTTTATTCGAGTAGTTTCCATCCTCAAAAAAATACAGACCTCCATGTTGTCTAGCATTGCCAATCATCCTCCCCGAGACCAAATCCTGAAATTCACAGTGGGATGGAAAGAAATTAGCCTTGCATTTTAATTCTCTTGTTATTTGACTGACAGATAACAAATTACATGAAAGATTAGGAACATGAAGAACATTTTCAAGGATAAGAGATGAAGAAATTCGTATGGATCCCTGTCCAGCAATGGCTGAAAAAGAGCCATCTGCAATCTTAATTTTTCTATTTCCTGCTGCAGGAGAATATTTGAGAAATAAATGGGAATTACTGGACATGTGATCTGTAGCTCCTGAATCTATTATCCAAGGACCACAACAAGATTTGACAGAATAGGCTTTTGGATAAGGATTACCTTGATGGGCTAAAGAACAAAAAGAGGAATCAGAAGTCTGTTGAGATTGTAGAAGTTTGCATAAATTTGCAATCTGGTCCTTCATTGAAGAGGATAATTCAGGAGTAGATAATTGTCCTTGAGATTGAACAGCCGCTGAGGAGTGTGCTCGGCTATCAAATTTCTTCCTCCAATTTGCTGGTTTGCCATGAATTTTCCAGCAATTTTCCTTCCTATGCCATGGCTTCTTGCAGTGCTCACAAAAAAAATTTTCACCTTCAGAAGATTTGGTCACCAAGGCTGAATTTGTAGGTTCCACAATTCCAGGATTGGAAACAGAATTGTTCATCACTTTTCTCCGGCCTTCTTCCTGGCGAATTGCAGAGAAGACTTCCCTAATGGAAGGCAGAGGTGTTCTGCCTAGAAGACGCCCCTTAATCTCATCAAATTCATGGTTAATTCCTGCCAAAAACATAAAGACACGATCATTCTCCTCTCTTAAGCGAAATCTAGCCAAATCCCGAGGGTTCTCCCACTGGTCATTGTAGCACAGATCCAATTCTTGCCACATTGAAAGCATCTCATTGTAGTATGATGTTGCATCTTTATCACCCTGCTTGGACAGCCACAATTTCTTTTTTAATTCGAAGATTTGAGAAGAACTGTGTAAATTTGAATAGGTCTCTCTAAGAGCTTCCCATATTTCCTTGGCTTCCATGAACATATACGGACGACGAATGGACTCCTCCATTGAATTGAGTAGCCATGTCGTGATTAGTGAATTATCTGAACGCCAACGACGAAAAGCTGGATCCTTCTCCTCTGGTGGTTTTGTTTCTCCTGTTAAGAAACCTAATTTACCCCTGCCATCTATGGCAAGTTTCACAGACTGGGCCCATTCAAGAAAATTTCTGCCATTCAAACGAATAACAGTAATTTGGAGAGAATTGTGGCTTCCTGTCTCTAGATTGGTTTGAACAGGTAGGCTAGTAACATCAGAAGAAGAAGACATTGTATATTTACCCGATTAGGAGAAAAGAATGGTTAAACCAGAAAGGAAAGGATACGAAAAAATACTTAAGAGAAGGGAAGGTTATTCAGAAAGATTCTGAAGGAACAATGAAGGGAAGGTGTCTCTCAAATCTCCAGGTAAACAAACCTGGCTCTGATACCATGTAGTTTAGAGAGAAAAAGAATAATCTCTTTTGTATTTTGAATAATCGGAATACAATGTATATTTATAATACAGAGCCTAACTAATTCTACTAAACAAATCTCTAGATTACAGTAAAGCCTAACTAATTCTAGTAAACAGATCTAAACAAATTTAATTCTGTACATAAGCTTCCTAGAAAATAGGAACTAACTACCTAATATTATTCGACAGTTTCTAATATAATAGATCACTACATTTTTTCTTTCTACGAGATGTTGCCTGAACAGATGAAATAATCAAGATGGCTTGTTATAACTTCAAAGGCACTGATTTCACCTAAGCAATTTGAGAAACATGCTCAAATTGCTTGACAAATTCAATCAACTATAACCTACTAAAAGCTGTATTATAGACTTGAATGTTAGTTTTTAGTTTGCCAGAATATAAAACATGCATCAAATACAATCAATATGTTCTTAGGAACAGTTTGCAACAGTCAGGTGAGCCACATACCATTAAATAGCATGAATAGTCCTCTTATCAGATCAGAGTCATCTAGGTTTACACCAGCAGCCTTACGCTTTAACAGCTCCTCTCCCCTTCTGGTAATAGCCTCCTGGCTTGAACCAGTAAAAAAACAAGAAGAGTCAAGGTTATGCACTTCTTCTATTTTGTTAGCTCAGGTGATCCAACAGATACATACCCATCAGAGGCAGCAGCCAGATACAGAGGATATACACGCTCAGGAGGAAATTGCATTGCTTCTACAACATTCAAAATTCCAAGCTGTTGGAAACACCTTGAATTATGAAAGAGCAAAATGCAATACATTCTAAACAAGCATACTCATAAAGGGCAACTATATTATAGTTATGACCATCATATACAGAAGGGGCTAAGAAACTTATAAAAACTTACCTTTCTAGTCAAAAGTGTGTCACCTTTCAGTGGAAGCTTGCCAGTAACACGATTTGACTGAACAACTGAAAGTCCTGCCAGCAATTTAGCGCTAAAGACAATGTGATATCAATATTCTAGAACAAAAGCAATAAATCAAAAATTTTAAAATTTGTCGTCACAGTTTGGATGTCATACTCAATTGGTTGGTACAGAATTGTATGATAACAGAACTCCAGAAATAGTTTTCCCTCATTATGGTTGCTAATTGTTCTATACTTTCCAGCAATATTTTCCGCAATCCGGCTTGAATGGCATTCACCAATCACCTGACGTCAACATAAAACAAACTTGGTAACTTTAACTGTTGTGGAATTTAGAGGAACAACAGACACTAAACATGGCAACATCCAAAAAGGGGGTGTTTGGTTCAAGCAAAACTTTGGCATTTGGTGTGGATTATAAGTTTTGGGATCAAAAAGTGAATTTTTTATGTTTAGGGATTCCATATTTGGTGTTTGTTTCAAGAAATTTTTTAGAATGTTGAATCATAAAAATGCAGAAAGTACCCAATTTTTAGAATTTGCCAAATCCTCTCAAATTTGGCAAATCCCATAAATGAGTACACTTACCTCTCTTTTTATACCTTTGTATTTTTTTTTTTTGGAGATAACCTCACCAAGATAAGCATATTCACTTTATTTTCTTTTCAAGAATTTGTTATCCTATAATTTGAGTTTGAACCAAACAAGATATTACAAATTTTAGGATTTGCTTTTCTATAATAATGTTGAAACAAACAAAATATTAGAAATCCCAAAGCCTGTATAAGACCCTATGGATTTGAAATTCTCCATGATATTACAAATTCTAAAATTTTGGCATTTGAACCAAACACCCCCAAAGCATCTATTGTGTGACAAAAGGAACAACAAAGTTAAGGAATGTTCATATTATTATTAAAGAGAATTCCACAAGATTAACAACATTGATGAGGGATGAGCAGGTTTTTCATTTTGATGTTCCCTGCTCCTGCACATTGGTCAATAATACAATGGTCACGTCTATTGTCCTACTCATCCCCAGAGGAGATCAACACCCCAGTTTCATCCATTGCCCTACTCATCTCCAGAAGTGAAGTGACTGACATCCCAAGTTGTCCCAGTCATACTCCAACTTAATGTTCCATTCTTTCAATACCAGGTCTCTTCCTATTCAAAGCAGATTACTTCCTGTTAAGGATACTACTGTTACAAGAAGGAAAAAAAAGGCTAAAATATCAATTTTGTCCCCGAACTAAGGTCTCATACTCAAAGATCAACTTAATGTTCCATTCTTTCAATACCAGGTCTCTTCCTATTCAAAGCAGATTACTTCCTGTTAAGGATACTACTGTTACAAGAAGGAAAAAAAAGGCTAAAAGATCAATTTTGTCCCCGAACTAAGATCTCATACTCAAATTGTGCCCCCCCCCACCTTTTTTTGCCTCAACTTAGTCCTCATACCACACCTTAGTTAGAAATTGGGTGTTAACTTTTCATTTATGACCATATTACCCTTAATGAACTAGCAATACTAGAAGGTCATGTACTTTAGAAAGATAAAAAAATTATTTTTAGCATGTAATATTTATTTAAGGTTTTTTTCATTCTCATGTCGTGTTTAAAACTGTGAAGAAGATATCTGTTCAATTTTAATTTTTAAAGAGCCTTTGAAAAGTTATTAAATTTCAAATGTTGATATCAGTGTTTTGGATTCTCTGGTTTAGCAATCTATCGTTACTTGAACACAGGCCGAAACATATTTATTTCGGCATCAGTGGAGCTGTGGAGGATGTATGTAAGGTTTTATGTACTATGAGTTGCATTTGAATAGCTAGTTTGAGGTTTCATCTGGAGAAATTGCTCCTCCCTGTTGTGCAAGGATGTGAGTGATTCCAATTTTGCAATTCTGATTATTTAATCATTCTATGGGATAAAGGTAATCCACAAAGTTTTTCAAGTTGTAAGAGAAATGTTTTACTTGTTATTTTTTCATCTACGTACATCTCTATTCAAGAGCCAAATAATCAAGATTAGCACAACCATATGCTATGCAGGAAAGTACATTGGATGAATAAATAGTTGTAAAAACTTATTATTATATGAAATGTAATGACAGGGTAATGTAAACAATGGGTTTAACAGGTAACATAAACAGGGGGTTCAACAGGTTTGAAGGGTATAAAAATGTAATGACAGGGTAATAAATTATTGGACGAATAGCAGTTCTATCCATTCTCTTGGTTCGGAGGGCTGTATTGCAGAGAGGCACTTCACAGGAAATCATTCTCTCTTTTTTTCAATGAAAGGAATTGTACATTGTAATATTGTCCTTTCAATTTTTATGTAACAGAATTTTTTACAGAGAGTTGAATTAGAACTATGTTTACACCTAACTAGGGGTACAAGAACTAAGTAGAGAAAAAAGAAAGTGGGAGCACCAATTTGAGTATTAGGCCCTAGTACAGGGATCAAATTGCTCTTTTAGCCAAAAGAAAAGAAGATTGATATATTTACTTTCAAGTTGACTAGTCACTTAAATTTACCCTATGCACCAAGCACCTACAAAACCATGATGACATATGATGGCAATCATGGTTATCTAGCTGACTCTAGGTTATCCCAGGTGCAATATCATGGTTCTACATCATGGTTTTACTTAAATAAATTGAAATAATAACTTATTTGTTTTGAGTCCCCTACAAGTGCATGCTGATTGTACAGGTGATATGGTGCTACATCATCATTGTTTTTTAGGTGCTTATAGCTTCCGGCCTCTAAACAATCTCCAACAAGATCATGACCCCGTTGTGCCTCTAATAAACAACCCAAATCCACTTCCATGTGTAGCCATGCATACTCACTGAAACCTCTGGCACAAAGCATCACTAGCGGTGACTCACAAATAAGTTATTCCCACACAAACTGCCCAAGCCTACAAAGACTCATTGCATTGAAACCGACTGTAACTAGTCAGTGGGCACACACTCTGGATGCACAGCCACACAAATGCTCAATTACATGCAAGACACGGTCCAATAATCCCGACACAGGTTCCTAGTTCAAATAATTTCTTGAATATGCAACATAAGTTGAATTATTTGTGACCAAAATAATATCTACTACATTGACCAAACTACTAGCAATTTTCATGAAGCAGCTAAAATTAACCTCTCATACCTTTGCAACAATCCTCAAAATGATATCTTGATGCTGTTGAGGCCGCTTCCCAAGACCCACCAACAGCTCAGGCGCGGATTCCTCCTTAACCTACACACCCAAATTTACCCCCCTATAAGCAATCTGAAACCCTAACAAAGCAAAGCAGCAAACCAGTAGCTAACCTCTTTCGGCAATCGCTCGAACGCCATCTCAATGTACACAATGCAAAAATTCCTCACCATCGAAACCGCATTCGGCTCACTGTAAACCCTCCATATCTCCGAGAACGGCAGCCCGATCTCCGGCCGGTGCTTGACTCGCTTGTTCACATGACTCAAAATCTCGAGAACCTAGCAACGGAAAGTAGGAAGGGGTTAGGGTTAGGGTTTTGGAGAAACCCTAGAATTTGGGGGATTTTACCAGTTTGCGGATGGATTGGGAGGGAGAGGAGAGGGAGGAGATGGAGTAAGGGAGGATCTTGGGGAGGAGGGAGGAGAGGTTGGAGTCGTCGGCGAGGGCGAGGCGAGTGAGCATGCGATCTAGGGTTTCTTCTATCTGAGCGTCGGATTGCGATAGAGACGATGAAGAAGCGTCCGCCATTTTTTTCTGAGTTTTTTTGTTTGATAGAAATTATGGGAAGAGAAAGGTAGAAGAGGGGGTTTGTTGATGGGTTTTTGCGTGTGTAGTTTGGGTGAGCGGGGATTTCTTGGAGCGCAGGGAATTCTTGTTTGTTTTGTGTAATTTTGTATATTTCATTTCTTGATTGGGTTTTTCTGATATTCCTCTAAGGGGTGTTTGTTTCAAATCCCAAAATTTATGGATATGGATTTCACATGGGATTTGAAATCCATAAATTTTTTGATGGGTTTTGGGATTCCTAAAACTTTGTTTGTTTCATCAATATTTTGGGATTTGGAATGCTATAATTTGTAAATTCTTGTTTGTTTCAAACTCAAATTGTAGCATTACAAATTTTAGAATTTGAAATCCATAGTTGTAACAAACAAGTTTTAGGATTACCAAAATAATAGATGGTGAATATAAGAACTTTGGTGAGCTTACCTCCCACAAAAAAATAAATACAATTGTATAACATACAAGGTGCAGATTCAGTTTGTTTCAGGCCCCTTTAACAAAAATTAAACAAAATCTGTCCAAACTCCACATCCCCACAACCATCTCAGCATACTCCACATCCCCACAACCATCAACCTGATGCCCGTTCGTTATCGGATCCATAACTCAAGATCCGAAACCAATCACCAAGCTGGATTTTCCCCCCTTTTGTTTACACAGATAAAACTAAAATAAAAAATTCAGAAAAAAGGAGGAGGAGCCAGAGGAGAGAACCAACAAAGTAGCAGAAAAGCAGCAGGGCCCAATTTCAACCCTACAAGATTCGGACGCAGATCCGAACCCGATAAGAGGAGCAATTTCCTTCAGAGAACGTCTCAGAAGCAGCAGGATGATGAACAACCCCAAGCCCTAAAAATGAAGAAAAGAAGATCAAAAAAAGGCGAGCCGCACAGTGGAGAAATTCCCCCATCCGAGCTTCCTCTGTGCGATGTATCGGCCGCCGGCGAACTGATCGCCTATCCGCACCGCGTGGTGACCTCCTTTCCTATACAAATCCTCACCTGAGTCTTGAGCTTTTTTTTATTTTTAATTTGAGAGGAGAGGGTCGGTTTCTCTCTTTGGATTTCTCCTCTCTCGTCGGTTGAGCGCGGGTAGGATTTGGTAGAGGCGGGGGAAGAAACGGTGACAGGAACGACGGTTTTGGTTGAAGGAGCTGAGGAGGAGATGAGCTGGACTGCTTGTGTCAGAGATCCTGCCCAAATCCATGCTCAAAAAAAGGATTTCATATATGCTAAAATATAATAGTTTTTTATGTTTTTGGGATTCAATATCCCAAAAAAATTTTTGAAACAAACATGATTTATGGATTTCTAAAACCCAAAAAATCACTTTTTACATCCCAAAACTTCAAATCCAGCCTATATCCCAAAAATTTTTCGAAACAAACACCCCCTAAAAGAATATATGCATTTCGAAATGGATTTCTAAAAAAAAATTGTTACTTCAATTTGTTTAAAGGGGTTTTACATAAAATTATTATTTCAATTTGTTTAAAGGTGTTTTACATATCTTCTATATGTGCAAATTACCCTCATTATCTTGGTAATGGTAAAATTATCCCTCAATTCTCTCCCGTTGAATTTTCTACCCTACGAACTTATGAATATTAGTTCCTAAACAAGGCAATGTCAAAATTTTCCAATAACTTCCAACGTTTTTGCAATATTTTTCATTTACAAACTAAAATTGTCAAAGTCAAAGGGGTATAAAAATTCAATGTGAGAGAATTGGGAGGTAATGTTGCAAAGACTGAAAATTAGAGGGTAAATATATTTAATTTTTGAAGGGTATATACGGGGAAAAAATTTTAAAACAGTCCCATTTTGAAAACTAATCGCAAAAAACGACCTCATTTGAAAATAATTGTCAAAACCGACCTAGTTTTAGCTGTCGGTTTGAAACTGGGTCGGTTTTGATGGACAAAATTTAAAACTTCACGGGATTTCAAGTCCCGTGAAGTTTAGCAGCTTAATTAAATGCTGCTAAACTTCACAGGACTTCAAGTCCCGTGAAGTTTCAAAGTTATTTTCGTCAAAACCGCCCCAGTTTTAGCCTGACAGCTGAAACTGAGTCGGTTTTGACAATAATTTTCAAATAAGATCGTTTTTTGGAAAAAAATTGTATATGTGACTGTTTTGAAAATTTGTCCGGTATATTAGTATATACGGTCTTGATTTTTTTTCCCTCTTGGTAAAAAAATGCAATCTAACAACTTAATTAGCTTTCTACTGACAGTTATCGCTCCTTAGGGCCCGTTTGGATAATGGAAGTATTGGAAGTAAGAAGTAGATTACGGAAGTAACTTCCAAAACTATGAAGTAGGAAGTAACGGAAATATCATTTTTTTTGTTTGTTTCATATATTTTTAGAAGTAATGGAAGTAGAACTTCTTCCTCTTCATTTATTTTTTTTGTTTGGATAATATTTGAAAATATTACTTGGAAGTAATTAATATTGTTGCTTCCATTTTATTCTTGTTTGGATTGTCATTGAAATGGAAATAGAACTGTTGTTGCAATCAATTGAAGAGACCAATATTCATATAGTTGATTTGCTTGATATATAATAAAGGTAATCTTACCATTTTTTGATCAAGAGGTATGACACGAAACACTGATGATAACAAGGGAGCATCCGCAGCAAACAGGAAAGAAACATAATAAACTATGGAATTGGTCAAGTACGAGGGTTTCAGTTTCTTATGCTTGCTATTTCGTGCAATAACAAGAAAATGAGTGAAAGTAAATCATCAGATAAATAACGTAGTACGAGGATAATGAGACGTGCAGCATAATTGCAACAAGCACATTAAATATCTATTGAATTTATTAAAAAAAAGAAAGCCATTTAATAAATGAAAGCCACCAGAACGACTATAACTTCAAAGAGAACACAAAGTAATTTCTCGGAAAGTTAATCATCCCCAAAGGATTTTTGACAGTGAGCAATGACCATGGTATCAGAGCTATGGTTCTATCTAATTGAATCTTAACATGTACATCTAACTCATGGAGGACCTTGTTCTTGCTTCTAATTTCTAGTTTACATGAAACTAGTTAATTAATTCAAGTTATTTTATAAAATAATTAATTACAACTAGTGTAGTTGTATGTTAGAAGCTTGTTAGTCTTTTTTGAGTTTGGATAATCCTTATGCTATCTAGTTTCCAATATGTTGCATAACTAGATAGATGCATATTTCTTAATGTTGATTAAGTTATATGATTTATCATCTTGCATGGATGTTATGTTTATGGATGGTAGTGGACAACTATTCTCTTGTATGTTTTGTATTGATGTAATAAAGTTAGAAATGTAATAATTATTTACGACCTCTTCCCTCCCCGAGCATGGGCTACGCCTACGGGTTTAGGCACTTGCTCACCGATCATGGGCTACGCCTACGGGTATAGGCCCTTGTTCGGGTGTGGGGGGGTATGGTTGCTTAGTTTAGTTATTTCATTTATAGCTTTTGCTTTATATTTAATGCAATATTATTACCCATCCTACGAGATGGTTTTTCCATTATAAATGGGGCTTGCACGTCCTATGTTTATATGATTGTAATAATACAGAGTTTGCAAGGGAACAAGCACCGCAAGGAGTTGCATATGGCTTGCTAAAATGTAATTAGTGTAGTTGCATTTTATTTTCTTTAGTTGTCCACTACCATTCTATATAAGTTTTACATTACATATGTTGATATGTTGGTTGTGCCCCAAATTGTAGATGTCAATACAATTGGGTGCTATTTTTTGCAAAGTTTATATCTCTATCTCACTAGAGAATAGTTTTTATTATAAAAACTCATTTTTTAAACTTTGTGAGACATGGCAATAAGAGTTTATTGACCATAGAGTGGTGAGATCGACATTAACATAGTGTTAGTGTGAAAGATAAATAAACCTAAAGCAGTTAAAAGAGATGTATTTAGAATGAGCTTTTAACTAGTGTCAAGGAAAGTAATTATGAGATATAGCTCATGGGGTGATGCCCAACTTAAGATTAGGGGTGATGCCCAATCTTTCGCGCTATAGTCTTAAAGAGAAGTGGTTACTTAATTAAGGTCCGATAAATATTCCCGGTGAATAGCTCGGAACCCTCCCACCAATCTTGCGCTTTCCTGGCTAGTTTAATTGTTGCAAGTATAAATATAGAGCATCTTTAAACTATATCAAGTTCGATTACGGTAAAAGATTTGAGAAATCGTCCGTAGCCCTCCATCATTTTAGTTAAATACTATTAAGCTTATAAATACTATGTTTGTTGGCATACGTCAAGGCATAACTATTCTATGGCTAAATAGTATTCATCTGTATATAAGATATAAGGATAGCTTAAGTTGGTTATGCAACTTTGTTGGCATACGTCAAGAGTTTGCATAAGTTAAATTTAAGCCAGTCAAGAAATGATGGGTACAAACTTGACTAGCATTTTATGATTTGTTGGCATACGTCAAGGTCATAAAAGACTAGGGGTAAAATCATATCAAGAATTACAAGAGTGTAAAAGACAAAAGTTGTCTACCAATTATTGAATGTGTTAATTTGTTGACATACGCCAAGGTTGATGCATTCAATGATAATTGGATCTTGATCCCACTTGAAAACAATGAGTTGTTTTCCGATCACCTATTATAAGGTTTTGAGGGACTCGAAAAATAGTGGGAGGCATAACTTAGATAAAAATAAACCAAATCTATTTTATGTATTGAACATCTGCTAAAATACCTTTTCTCTCTCTTTCAGGCCATTATGTCTGGTTTAAAACTCATATTGGAACAGAACAAGTTAACCGGTCCTAATTACAAAGACTGGTTGAGGAATGTTAAAATTGCCCTAACTTATGACAAAGTAGCATATGTCCTCACTGCGCCCGAACCTGTTCTAGGCCTAGAACCCACTATAGCGGAAACTGAAATCCGCAATACATGGGATAAAGATTGTTCACTTGCTCAATGCCTCACCATTGCCTCTATGGATTTGGTCCATCAGAGACAACATGAGAATATGGATATCAGATCCATATTTCGTAATACAGAAGAACTGTATGGCGAGCAACCGCGACAAATGAAGTACGCGGCGTCTAGGAATCTGTTCCAGACGAAAATGACTGTGGGATCTTCTGTTGGGGATCATGTCCTCAAAATGATCGCCTATGTCAATGAGCTTGAACTTTTGAACGTAGGCCTAGATGCAGATAGATATACAGATATCATTCTGCAGTCCTTGACACCAGCATACTCCCGATTCATATCACAGTTTTTGATGATGGATCTGGAGCCCACTCTTCCTGCCTTGCTTAATTTGTTAAGACAGGAAGAAAGTTCTTTGAAAAAGGGACAAACACCAGTCTTGGCTATAGGGCAATCTTCTTCCTCTTCTGGCAAATTGGTTGCTAAGAAAAAAGGAATGAAGAAAACTACTAAACCAAGGAAAGGTGTTAAGAAGGCTGTCAAGAAGGATAAAGGAAAGGCAAAAATGATGACAGCAGAATGCTTCCATTGTCATAAGTCAGGACATTGGAAAAGGAACTGCCCAGAATACCTAGCCTCACTCACCAAGAATAAGCAAGTTGTTGCTTCATCTACAGGTGTGTTTGTTACTCAGAATTGTTTTTCTATAAATCATACATCCTGGGTATTAGATACCGGATCAGGATCTCACATCTGTAATTTGTTACAGGGACTTAAAAGTTATAGAAAACTTGGAGCTGGAGAGATGACTATGCAAGTTGGTAATGGTGCAATAGTTGCAGCACTTGCAGTAGGGGATTTTCATCTAGCTTTACCAAATGGAAACGTTTTGATTTTAAATAGCTGCTATTTTGTACCAACTATGATGTGTAATATAATATCCATATCTTTATTAGATAAAGATGGATATGTATTTAAGTTGGAGAACAATGTTATGAATATCATATTTAATCAAAAGTTGATTGCTTATGGAACATTGTGCAATGGCATCTATATTCTTAATCAAAATACAATTCTGAACACTTATCACACTAATAAAAGAAAGCACTCAGTTATGAATGACGCTTTCTTATGGCATTGCAGACTTGGTCACATTAATAAAGAAAGACTTGGCGAGCTTCATAAGCATGGATATTTAGATCCATTTGACTTTGAGTCTTATGAGACTTGCAAGTCTTGTCTTAAAGGTAAAATGACCAAGACTCCATTTACAGGAACTGGAGTAAGAGTTACAGAACTCTTAAGACTGATACATAGTGATGTATGTGGTCCTATGTCTACAATGGCCAGAGGTGGCTACTCCTACTTTATTACTTTTACTGATGATTTTTCAAGGTTTGGACATGTGTTTTTGATGAAACACAAATCTGAAGCACTTGAGAAATTTATCGAATACAAAAATGAAGTAGAGAACGAAACGGGCAAGAAAGTTAAAATTCTTCGATCGGATCGAGGAGGTGAATACTTGAGCTCGGAATTCTTAGTTCTTCGATCGGATCGAGGAGGTGAATACTTGAGCTCGGAATTCTTAGGTATTTTAAAAGAGAATGGGATTCTCTCTCAGGTTACTCCACCCTTTACACCACAGCTTAACGGCGTGTCAGAAAGAAGGAATCGTACCCTATTAGATATGGTACGTTCCATGATGAGTAACACTGAGTTACCTTTTTCATTCTGGGGGTATGCATTAGAAACAGCAACACACTTACTGAATAGGGTTCCAACTAAAGCAGTGCCTAAACCTCCATATGAGATATGGAGTGGGAAGAAACCACATCTTAATTATATTAAGATTTGGGGATGTCATGCTTATGTAAAGAAGCAAGATCCCAAAAAGTTAGAGGCACGCTCAGTATTATGCAAATTTGTAGGATATCCAAGGAATTCCATTGGATATCAATTCTACCACATCGATGAACAAAAGATAATTGTTTCTCGGCATGCCACCTTCTTAGAGAAGGAATTTCTTGAAAAAGAAATTAGTGGGAGCATGGTAGAACTGGAAGAAATTTCAGAGATATAAAATATTACTGATAAATTAGTGGAACCAGCAAATTCAGTTATACTAGAAGAACCTCAACCACTCCACAGATATCCAAGGCGATCTCATGCACCTAAGACACAATATAATTTTTTGAAAAATTTTAAGGAAATAGAGATGCCAACTAGATGACACATCAGCTTTTAAGGAAGTAGCGGAAGTAGCTTTTACGGAGAAACAAACAATATTTTTTATATGGAAGTAGCAAAAATAGCCTCTATTTCCTCTACTTCTGCTACTTCAGAGTTACTTCAGTGCAAACAAACAGGCCCTTAGTAACTCAACTTTCCTTTCGTCAGACAACCAACTGTATAGGGGTGCAAAAATATCCATGCATGTCCACGTAATGGATACGTATAAGGTTACTAAATATTTATATCCATTTAGGATATGATTGTGGATATAGACATGTGGTGAAGTATTTGGATCCGTATCTACAAAAACCGAATACATGTTAATCATGCGGGTTCAAGTATTTTAATACTTAGATTAATAGATTTTAGGTTAGTTTTAATGATTAACAGATCAAATCTTAGCTTTTCATGTATAACTAACATATTAATAAACTCTCTCACATCACTCGAGCTATATCTGTTTTCTAATATCTATTTTCTATCCACATATATATCTGTATTTGTTTTCGATTTTAGCAGATATGCATAAGAATTTTTTTAATCCAGACATATTTGTATCTGAATATATATTTATAATTGGCAAATAGTATGAATATGATAAGTATTATGGACAAATTTTCAAAACCAACCTATTTGGACTTTTATTCCCAAAAAAAGACCTGTTTCACATTTATTTAGAGAAACCGACCTGGTCTCAGCCTCAGCGCTGAAACCAGGTCGGTTTTTGAAAAAAACTCTCCGAAACTTCACGGGAGTTGAACTCTCGTGAAGTTTCGTAGTTCAAAAAACTTCACGGGAGTTCAACTCCCGTGAAGTTTCGGAGAGTTTTTTTCAAAAACCGACCTGGTTTCAGCGCTGAGGCTGAAACCATGTCGGTTTCTCTAAATAAATGTGAAACAGGTCTTTTTTTGAGAATAAAAGTCCAAATAGGTTGGTTTTGAAAATTTGTCCTAAGTATTATATGTGAGCCGTATTCGGTCCATTGCACCTCTACATCCAACACTCTCCCGGTCCAACTCATTTAACACCTTTTTCTACCAAACCATTCCTTTCACGCAATTTCTGTTAGTCTCTTCATGCAATGGCTACACATTTGGGACACGAGATCTAGGCGAAGAAGATAAAGGTGTCATGAGAATAATAAGCGACCGTTAAGAAATTTTAGGTTAATATAACATATTATAGCTAACAGAATCTATTTGCTGTATCATAAACTAACTGAAATACTTTTTTAGTGAACGTTTTAATGTTTGTCATCCCTTGGTTTACAACCATAGATCTTTTATGTTACTTGTCAAGAATCAAATCGCTCCAAACAGAAGATATTGCACGTAAAATGATCCTTAGCTATACTTAATATTTATTTTCAATCATCTTGATAGATCAATACTACCTGTATAGTGACTAAAATGGTTGTTAACAGGACCCAAATCGCTGCAAACTCTTGTTGGAATAGTTAAAGTTTTTGAGATATTAACCAAGGCATTTAAGCATGAAATGGCAGCAGGAGTCGCAATCACCACGGGTAAAAAGTCTCAAAACTTCAGTAGATCATATTCACTTGGAAATAAACAAGGAATGGATTGACAACATTGGATCATATATATACATGTAACATTACATCGAACTTTGGCCTCTTCGGTGTACTTTTGAGAACTGTTAATTCAAAAACTGAAGCAAAACTCCTTTGGGCGAACTTTGGCTTCTTCGGTATATTTTTCGATATAATCCTTTCTCAATTGACCAAACCGGTCTTTGGGGTTGAATTAACGCAAAAATTACAGGATATTATGTTTATCTAAGATTTTCTGTTAACACCTCTATTGAAATAGTTTCCACGCTTCAATACAGGCTGCTGATTATTCGCGCTTTGCCTTGGCAGATCTTTCAGCTCCATCACTTGTATCGTCCGCTGCCTCTTTGCTGCATCAAAAAGTATGCTCAAGATCATTAGTGGCATCAAATTGCATCGGTATCTACTATATCATCCTTTTCGCGCAAGGGTAGGCAAAAAAGTAAAGGGTAGTTTGGACTTTTTACTCAACCCATTAACCTGCTTATGAGAATTTCTAATACTAATAATTTTGAAAGCTCGAGAGGGTTTCTACGATTTATAAACTTTAAGCGGGTTATTTTGCAAAACCCTCCAAAGATCAAGGGGTTTTGCGAAATTTACCCTAAAAAGAATTTAACATACCATCCTTTGCTTCTTGATACCGATCTTGAAGTTTCCTCTTGGCAACCTCCAACTTAGCTCGATATGATAATTCCTCAGTCTCCTTCGATACCTAGAATAAACACATGAATTTATGAGACCACAGCCATTTATATAAGGTAATGAGATTTCAATGATTCACTGTCATGTTTACATCTTTCCTCGAGGGGCAAGGTTTTAATGGAGCCCCAGAAGTTTTTTGCCTCTGCTGGGTGCTCCTATTTGCAGTGGCTCTCGCTGAAGTGTTCGAGGTATCCTGGGGTTTTGATGTCTTACAAACAACATCACTAGGGTTCGGAGTCCTAGGCCCAGTCTCTTGCCTTCTGATATCTCTAGAATGTTCATGTGTCCTTTGCCTTTGCTCGATATTCTTGCAAGTGGTATCTTTTGGCGAAGATCTTTTGGGTATCAGAGGACTTGGGATATCTTTAGATTTTGATGCCTTAAGGGTTGTATATGTGGGCTTTGGGACTCCCGGGATTTCTTGACTCCTGATCTCTGTATTGTCTTTCTTTGTTAAATTATTGCTTTTCTCTCGAGGTTTTCTTCCATTCTTTTTGTCTCCATTGCTTGTAATGTCTGCAAGATTATCCCACATATTAGATAAAGAGATGGAAATTAAAAAGTTTGGAAATGAAAAGTGAGAATAAAAATGAGGATGCTCACTTCCATCTTCATCCATTCCGTCAAAGATCTTTTAAATTGGTTGGTTGAAAGAAAATCAAAAGAGAAAAAAAAAGTCAGTTACTATTGAATGTATTGTCTACACCTGTGAAGTATTAGAAGGCTAAATGCATATGTAACTACCTTTGAGAACTCAAAGGATGCAGTTTGTGTAGCTAGGAGAGCTCCCATATCTAATGGAGGAAAATCAAGCTCTGAAGGGAGCAAAGACTCTTCTATGGCAGGAGAGGAATCAACAGAAACAGGGCGTGATTCTGCAAACAATAACATAAAATTAATTTCATAAACAACAAATAGAAACTTTGATGTTTCTAAGGTTGTATCAGATATTATCTTCACCTTGAGAAACTGTAGCAGCAGTAACCCACTCCTCAGCGAGAAGTTTCCAACCCCTATAAACCAAATGATAAAAGTAAGCCACTTGGAATATCAATTGCTTCCTACTTTTTTTCCTTAAGACAAATCCACATCGCCTAAATATCAATTGCTTACTACTTGATATAATCTTTTCCGCTTCATGTTTTATTATTCAATTCATAGTTACACAGTACGCGGTACGTAGCGAGTCACGGTACGAGTATGCTCAATCAATCTGCCATCCTTAGCTATATATTGTCAATTCAAGGGTAGCTAACTGACCATCGAGCTCCACATTCGCGTCCATGCTTTATTTTAAAGTGTAGGAATTTCTAGGTCAGACTAACTAAAACTTATCCTACAAACTTTTTACTTAGACTTTAAGAACTAGTAAGAACCATTGATTAGTTTCATTTGCGCATCTTAATACAGTTCCGGTTAACATTGCATCAGTTTTATTTCATACTGCAGTGAGAATAATGGAAATTCCACTGCTGAGCAAAGCTTTAAATATACAGAGGACACTAGATGGTGATAAACAGTGATATCAAAAGCTGAAAGCTTTTTCATTGTTATCTTGAGTTAAATTAGATGTTAGGTTAATGCATATCGAACAGAGAAGAAACTGGAAAAGGCTTGTTCAAGTATTACCCGGACCATTATATAATGCTAGAAGCAAGTTCAAGGAGACATGAGAAAAGTTGTCTTACTACACTAGATAATCAAGATGTGATTATCTAGTATAATAAAAATGCAATAACAAGGAAATGAAGACATAACACAGATATCAATGAAAAAGGAATATATTAAGAATAAACAAGGACACATAAATGTAGCAGGTATCTTATTTAACATAAGAAAAGAAATCCAGTCTCAAAACTTAAGAAATATAAACCAGTCATGATGACAGAAAACTAGAACTATATCAGTTTTGTTATTTGAGCCGACTTCATTAACTTTTTCATAATTTTAAGTAAGACATTATAAAACTCACTTGACAAGGGTCTGAGCAAGTTGCTGAATCGATTTCGATTTGTGCTTGTCCAGACCATTGACAACCCTTCCAATATCTGTAGCCTAAGGACCACAGATAATAATCCAATAAGAAACATTAATGTTTTTCCCAATATAGAATGAAATTGGAGTCAATAATAGTCAATAAGCATCAACTCCGTGCATGCTTAGCAGTAAAGGAAATCAAAAACTTTGAAACGTTATATGGAATCATACACCAAGGGTCTCCACTGAGAGCTCCATCAATTGCAGCCGCCTTAGTGACTCAGATAGAACTTTCTCAGACTGCAAAAATAAAGCCATAGAGAATGCTCAATCAGTACCTTAATGAACTATGCAATACACAATCCCAATACCAAAATACAACCTCAGAACTTTCAGTTAGAAACAAACTTATCATCTACTCATAGCCTAACTATGAAAAAACACAATGGATCTCTAAATAGTCAAAGCAGGAAAAAGTATCCTCCAGATGCTTGACTTTGAAAAACTTTTGAGAAAGCAAACAACATGCATCTGATAGTGAAAGATACATTAAAGATATATTTCCAAAGATACAATAACATATTTTCGAAGATACACTATATTTTGAAATCTAAAGTGAAATTAGCATGCAGTCACAATCACCTATGGTTTGTGATTTAGTTCATTTTTGAACAGGCCAAAACAGCAGAATATATCAACTACAGCATCATACAAAGGATTTCTACTCTCCGCACATGAAACAATGACGGAGTTCGATCATAAACTCAACGACATTTTGATAGTCATTAGCCTTATGCAGAAAAAGGCAATTGAACACACATATATCAGCGAATACACAACCTGCGGTGGTATTAACTCCCATTCAACAAACTATTTTAGAAAGCAATTCAAACAAACTACCTAACAATGAAATATTCAATAATTCAAGTTAATCCATCAAGCATTTACCTCTTCTTTCCAGTTAGTGAGCACCTCTTTGATCCTCAACACCTCACCAACAGTCTGCTGTTCCTCCTCAATCTCATCAGTCAGAGCCTCAAACTCATCAAGCTTTGAATACTGCCCTCTATCACTGATGCTCTGATCATTACTCATAGTTGGTTCATTCTCCTCACTGCTACTACCCTTGCTTTCCTTACTTTCCTTCTGAGTTTCCTCGCTCTCTTCATCATCTTCAACTCCACCTTCAGGAGTCTGTAACTCAGCCCGGTCACTAGAGTACTGAATTCTCCAGCAAGTGTATAGAATCTCTGTTATCTGATCGCGCCATGATAAGAACTCAGTGGGGCAATCGGCCGAAGCAACAAGGATAGCATACTTGATCACTTGAAAGATGTCGGCATTTGCGCAATTGAAGAACTTTCTCCAGTAATCAAGCGATGATGATGAGTAGCTTTCGGCCATCTGTTCACCAAAGAACTTCAAGGTCAGATTTCTGATCAATATTGATTTAGGAAAAGAAAACTATTTAGAATTCTGATCGTTTGACTGAAGAATTCAAATGGGGGTTTCAGAAATTGATCACTAAAGACCAACAACAACCCAAGTTAAAATCTTCATTCAGGATTCCGATCATTTGACAAGTCAATCCAACTAGGGTTTTTTTTTCAGAATTAGAACTCAACAACTCAATCCAATTCCAAAAAAAAAAAACCAAAAAAAAAACAAAACAAAACAAAAACAAGTTCAGAGTTTGAAATAAACTTCAAATAGTTTGACCGATCAATTCAACGGGGTTCTCTTAATCTGGGGGAAAAGGATCGTCGGTAGACTGAAAGAAAATATCTGCCCTTTACCTCTCAATTCCAAGAGATCAAATTCAAATTATATAAATTGGGAAAGACAGTCAAACTAAAACAATTAGATGGTAGATCTAAAAAGGGGATATTAAGGATTATTTTTTACAATCAACCCTTTGGCTTCAATAATTTTGTACATAAAGTTAGGGTTAGGGTTTCGATTCCCAAATACTTACTAAAATTTGAGGGAGGACACGCGTTGCCTTATATCGTCGATGCCGACAAAGGCTACGGATGTCATCGGAGAAGATAGAGTGAGGGGATACGCTATTAAACGCCAAATTCTTTGAAACGTTCAAAATGTAAAAACTAAAAAAATTCGGATAGGGGCAGCTGCGCAATTTTCGAAATGTCAGAGGGGTTACATTTAATTTTCCACCGCCCAACCTCGCGCCCAAAAATCGCCGATCAATCGATGGACAATCGGCGTCGAGATGCTGCGGTGGTGGGTTCTTTGTCGATTTGTCCACGTCATGTAATAAATACGACAAGAATTTTGTGATGAATTGGAAAAGACAACTATACCCTGAATGCTACTGCAAACGAATCGGTGTTAGATGCAGGATGTGTACTAATAAAACGAAAACACTTTTTGGCTCGCGCTTTAATGTGCGAGGCAACTCGCACAGACAACGCGCGAGGCAACTCGCACAGGAACTGGTACAGTGGGGATCACTCCTGTTCCTGTGCGAGTTGGCTCGCGCGTTAAAGCACGAGCCAAAAAACAACGCTGCTAATAAAATAGTTGTAGTTGGGTGCAAAATTTAGAAACTTAGTTGATAATTTTTTTAATCATTAACTTAGTTGATAATTAGCTGTGTGGCATTTCATTTTATTTTCCATGATTTATTTTCTCTTTTTCTATGTATTCTTTTTTCTCCTTGCTTACTTTTCTATTTTCGTTTATCATTTACAGATGTCAACGATATTCCATTAGGGGCAGACTTGTCCGTTTACCATTAAGAATACAAAAACGATTCTATAAGGCTATAAGGTAAAACACATAATTAATATCTGCCGTAATCGCATAAGATTATACCTAAAGCATGTACAGGTATAAAGAAGGCTTAATTGTAGTTTCCCATATATGTTGCACTTATATACTCCCACTTGTTTTTGACAACACTTACATGGTTTAAAGTTTTTAAAACATTCATCTGTATATTCTCGCTTATTTTTTATAGTATTTATATACCCTAACATTTTTAAAACTTGTACTTAAATACCTTAATTTTTTTTTAAAATTAACGCTCAAATACCATTAAGTATATAAAGCTTGCACTTTAATATCTTAAGTTTGAATAACTAAGTTATTAAGTGTCAGTTTAAAAAGCTTTAAGATATAAAAATACTGTAAAAATACGTAGATGTATGTAAGTGCAAGTTTTAATAGCTATGGGTGTATAACTGCTGCCAAAAACTAATGCAATTACATAAGTGCAAAGTAATGAAAAGTATAAGATATGTAAGTGTAATTAAGCCTATAAAAAAGAGGACATAAGTAAAATATGCGTGTGTGAGATAGAAAACATGTTATAAATATAATAGATTTCTTAGATGAAAGTTCGTCCATATCTCTAGCATGTATGAAAAAAATGATAGAATATGGATGTTGAAAATTTACCTCAAATATATTAATCTAAAGATCAAGATAATTTCAATTGTGAGATGTATTCAGATAAGTTGCAATTTAATTTAATTTTATATATTCGATGCCCGTGTGTTCACTGTTTACATCCATTTTGCTATGTATATAAAGATAGGGGCTGTTGACAGTATTCTTTCCAACGTCTCATCCCGACAAATAATATTATCCTGAACGCAGAATTTTGAGGGGGGGGGGGGGGGGGTGATAGAATTTTTGTTGACTTGTACGTGTTTGGCACGTGCGCAATGAACATGTAGGGACCAATTTTCTTTGCCTGTTCTTATCTGAACTCATATGGACGTGGTCACGTGGCTATCAAAGTTTGTGAAAATAAAAAAATGAAAGAAATAAAATTTGATTTTTAACATCCTTCTACATTTTTACCGGTTAAACTATTAAATTAGTATTTTAAAAAGACTCATTTTACCATTTTGTTATTTAAAATATCTCCGATGACGTTTGGATTTTAAAATGCATTTAAGTTAGCATATAGGTTCAAAATATCATTAGCGTTAACTTTTCCATCGGAGAATTTATTCGCACCCTCTGTCCTCGTAACGTTTGTATTTTAGACCATTCTTCACCTTTTTCTTCCCAAATTTAAATTTCTTCTGGTCATCCCTTATTCAACATCTCTTTCTCTCTAATCAATGGAGTCACCTCTCCTTCAACCTCTCATCTCATTAATAGTTATAGCTTCAACCTCTCATCTCATCAATAGTTGTCGTAAAAAGTAGTGGAGAGTGACCCAAATTTATTTCCAATTAAATATTTGTTGATTGATGGAGTCAGTGGGGGCCACCAGAGGAGAAACCACGTGAATGAAGTAAAGGATCAAGCGTTTTTTCTTCTCTCGTTACGGACATCAAGGCAAAGGCCCACCCGAATATTTTTTTTAGCCTATAAATACATTTGTTTCTAGGGTTTCGTGTGACTTTGGATAAAAATCGTAGGGGGTGGAAAAAGGAGCCGCATACAGTGCAAGTGCAATTGTTGGGAGCGGAAGAAGAAAAAAAAAAGGCAGAAAAGCGGCTGCAGCGGTACAAGGAACTGTGCAAAGGCAGGGTGTTCTTGGACAGCGTGCAGACTTTGTGAGGAGAGAAAAAGTCTTTTGGAGGCTGACCTTTTCTTGAGAAGAAAAGCAAGGAGCCTATTTGAGGGTTTAGATTGTGAGAGTTGTAAACCCATTGTATTCTTTTTCTCTTTAATAGTAGATCCCCCCCTCCTTGCCCCGTGGACGTAGGCAGTTTCCCGAACCACGTAAAAATTGATTGTTTGAGTTTGTGGCCATTGTAATAGTTTTAGGATCCCTCGACACACAGTCCTAGAGCTGACGAGAGGAAGAGCAAATATCCCACTTTGATGGGATATTAGGCTTTCAGATTCTTGTTCCCTTTGAGAAACAAGAATTCTTATCGATCTTTCTCTCTTATTGTGCATCAGAAACTCTGCCGAAATTTCCGCTGCGCACAACAAGTGGTATCAGAGCCCAGATTCCAGATCTAGGGTTTGGTTGGAGGAGTAGATCAATTTGGAGGCCTGTTTAGGACTTCGTTGGTGATAAAGGTGGGATCTTTAGGTAAAGACTCTATCTTTCAGTTTTGGATCTATTCTTTGTTCGTTGGTGCGTAAGATGTCGGGGAAAGAAGGTGCTTCGGGTGTCGAGGGTGGTGCTTCTGGTGTGAAGACCATTCAGAGTTTGGATATCCACTCTATGAAGATAGATGTGGAGAAATTTAATGGCACAAATAGCTTTGGATTATGGAGATGCGAGGTTTTGGATGCGCTGAACGCGCAGAATTTGGAGGATACCTTGGAATTAGATGGCAAGCCAGATGAGATTGAAGAGAATGTTTGGAAAAAGATGAATCGAATGGCGTGTGGTGTGATTAGGTCTTGTTTGACTCAAGATCTAAAATATGATGTGATGAATAAGACTTCTGCAAAGAAGATTTGAGAGATTCTCAAAAGCAAGTATCTGACAAAGAGTGTTGAGAACCACTTGCATTTGAAGAGGAGACTTTATCGTTTCCAGTTGAAGAAGGGAACCTCCATTAGAGATCACATGAACCACTACACAAAGCTTCTTGCGGATTTGGCGAATGTGGATGTCAAGATTGAAGATGAGGACAAGGCGTTGCTGTTGTTGAGTTCCTTGCCCGACGAGGAATATGAGACCTTCCGAAAGAATTAGAAGTCACAGTCTAGAGTAGGAAAAGATCAGTGTGCTTGGTGCAAGGAGACTGGTCATTGGAAGAAAGACTGCCCAAAGCTCGACGAATGGATGAAGAATAAGCAGAAGGGAAAAGGGAAGCAACCATCATCAGAAGCAAACATCGTATCGGATGGTAATAATTCTGACTCTTCTATTTATTCGCTTTCTATCAGTCCTACAGATAGCTATTCGGAGGAATCTGAATGGATGTTGGATAGTGGTGCGACCTATCATGTGTGCCCTAGAAGGGAATGGTTCTCCAGTTTTGAGAAGCTGGTGGATAGTGGTGTGGTGTACATGGCTGATAATCGTGTATGCCGGATCCTTGGGATAGGAAGAATTCACATAAAAATATTTGACGGGACGGTTAGGGAGTTGATGTGAGATATGTTCCTTCTTTGAGGAAGAACTTGATCTCGATTGGAGCTTTGGTTGGAGAGGGTCTGAAGGTTCGTGTTGAGGACATGGTTCTCGAGATTGCGAGAGACTCTCGTATTTTGATGAAGGGCGTCAGGAGAAATAACCTGTATTACTTGACTGGAGGTATAGTGACAGGTGGAGAGCTGGCAACTTCTGTTGATTCGACTAGACTGCGGCATTTGGGGCTTGGCCATTCCAGTATTGATTCCTCGCATAGATTGGAAGAGGGTGCGAAGACCTGCAGTTTGAAGTCCAGTGAACATGTTGATGTGAGCAAGAAGACCGAGGTGAAGTGTGGCACCTCTATTCACCGTGCTAAGGGTCGTTCTGGAGGAGTTCACGTGGATGTTTGGGGGCCTTCCAAGGGGGCATCATTGGGAGATAATAGGCGTTTGGTTTCCTTTGTTGGTGGCTGTTCTAGGCGTGTTTGGGTTGCAACCAAATCCCCTATGGATAAAGTCCTAGTAGTCTCTAACAGATTGAAGAAGTGTGATATTGGCAGAAAGGTGAAGGTACTCCATTCTGGTGGGAGGTACAAGATGGACCTGTTTCTGCATTGGAGCCGAGCTTACGGCATTACGAGACACTTCGTTGGAAAGGAAATCTTGGGGCAACTAGATAAGGTGACAAATTTGGAGAACCGTGCCTTTCTGGAGGAGGATCGGTGTTTGTGGTCGAGTAATGGTCTGCAGAAGAGTTTCTGGACAGAGGCTTCGATATATTTGGGTCATCCTATTAAAGAGTTGTCAACTGTTGTGATTGGAGGTAAAACTCCATTGGAAGATAGGTCTGGTAGTGTCACTTTGGTTGAGGCTTCGATGAGGAAGCCAATTGACTCTCAGCAGGTGGAGAGTTTTGGACAGACCTTAGAGGTATCGCAGCGGGTGGAGAGTGATGCTACTCCACATTGGGTAAATATTACTCCAGGTCATTCTACATTGGTTGGGATTCCAGCTGAGGTGACACAGCGTGGAAGTCATTTGGATTCGGATGCAGATGATGAGTTGGGTTTTGACTCGAGTGTAGCTGACAGACATAGTTTGGATACGACCATTGGTTCGCCTCAGGTGGAGGTGTTTGAGGCCATTGGAGGTGCT